TTATTGCTGGTTGTAGGAATGTCATCCACTCACCTAAACAAGATCTGCTCACTACCAAATTCCCTCCCAAGAATTTGTCACCAAGTTTTCCTACTTGGTCTCTTGAGTCAGAACACTAGGTTTTTCTCAGTTCATCATGAGATGAGCAAGTCTCCAGACTGAACAAGCTGGATGGAAATAGTGCTCGCCTTGTGCATAAACAGAGGCCAGGTTTTTATTGACACTGGGGGACATCATCACTGCTGGTGACCCAAAGCGGTTGTGCTCCAGGTTTGGGGCACCACCTTCCTCCCTCATGGGTGGCGAGGGGGGCTCCCTAGCTGCTGCAGGTGTCACAGGACTAGGAAGACAAGAAGGGGGGTGTTTAAAAGCATGGCTGAGCTATGGATTGGCTTCCCCTTCAGTGTCCTTGTGTATTAGTTTGCTAGCGTTGCCATGCAAAATAGCACAAGGTGGGGAGGCTTAAACAACAGAAACAGAGGGTCTCACAGTCCTGGAGGCTGGAAGTGCAAAATCCAGGTGCTGGCAGGTTTGCTTCTTCTAAAGGCTTCGAGGGAAAGGGCTGGTCCAGGCCTGCCTTTGGCTTGTTCCTGTTGATGGATGCCTTCAAGTTCGCACGGCATTCCTCCTGCATGGCTGTGTGTGTCCAAATCTCCCCGTCTTAAAAGGACTAAGTCATATGGGATTAGGGCCTATGCTGATGGCCTCAGTTGAACTTGACCTCTGTAAAGACCTTGTTTCCATATAAGGTCACATTCTGAGATGCTAAGGGCAAGGACTTCAACATATACATTGGGGGGACACGATTCAACTCACAACTTGCAAACGTATAGGTGAAAATCAGAATTATTTTTTAATAACTTCCACTGGAGGATTGTTGTTTCTTTGCATGCGATAGCCCAGGAATCTGAGTTGTGTAGAACAGAAGAGAGCAAGGGGAGGAGGATCGGGGAGGAAAAGGAGAAAGAAGACAAGGAAAAGAAGGAGGAGGGTGAGGGGAAGGAGGAAGAGGAGGAGGAGGAGCAGTGAGCTGGGTCAGACTACCAAGCCTGAGGCAGGGTCAGAGGTTGGCGAGAATTAACTCCCCACTTACCGAAATTTAATTGTGGTTTCCTACAAAGCCCACCAACAAGCAGTGCCAAGGATGCACATGGCATGAACACAAATGTTTCACGGCTCCCTGGCGTGTGCCACACAGGCGTACCCCGGGGGGAGATTCGGCAGCTCTCCCACAGCCTGGCAGGTGCGGGCCGAGGAGCACAGCGCCGAGGCTCCCTGCCAATCACACCTCGGGGCTGGGAGAGCGGGATGCCACGCCGGTATCCGATGGCCCACCCAGCAGGAAATCCTCGCCCAGTGAGATCATCACGTTTCAGTGGTACCGCCTCTTGGAGCCGGCTGCAGGTTCCAGTGCAGTGAGCCTCCTGCAAAAGGAAGTCTGACAAGGGCCTGTTCTGTGCATTTGTGCAGCACATCTGTAAAAAGAGGGGCTGCTATGAGAGAGAGGGAACTGAAGAAGGGGCAATCGGGACTCTGGGCCTTGCAGGGCCTCGCGGCAGCCAGATGACCACACACACCGCCCCGCGGCAAACATACAAAATGCAAAATCCCACAAGGCAGGGTGAATTTCCCAGCACGGTGCAGACCGCAAAGCAAGTGGTGCCGTGGCTGAAGCTTCAAAGACAAGAAAGGGGAACAAAAATAACACTCTTGTGTCGGTGACAGGCCTGGGCCCACCCTGAGCCCACACCGGGACTCCCAGGCTGCTGCCAGCCAGGTCTGCCACGTGGCAGGAGCAGACTCCTTCCAGGCGATTCTGACACATGCCAACATTTGAGAACCACTTCAGTTCTACCACCCAAACCAGTTTAGAGGGGTTCTAGAACAAGCTGCCCTACAGGATCTATTATCTACTCTGCCTTTGGCCAGAGTCAATGCCAAGAAAGACAAGCCTGTTTGCGGGACCAGTTTAACCCACTCGTGTGTCATCAAGTTCTTCCCCTCATGTCCTTTGTTTTGAGATACAGAATTCTAGACCTTGCCCCAAAACGGAGCCATAGAGACTGTGTATAACTAGTCTCAGACTAATTTGCACATTTTACTTTATTGTAATGTCTCTGGCTCGGGAAAGAGGGCTAGTTGCTAGGAATCGGATTTGGGCAGCGCAGCCTTTACCTGAGCCCTCTTCGGTCAGTCTCGCTGTGTGCTTGGCTCACCTACCATCTGTGGTCCCGAGAATGCAAACATGCCCTTCAGTTGGCCGCTTCTCCCGATTGTCTCCCCATGAAGTCTTATGAACCTGCTGACTTTCTCCTAAATTTAGTGACTTATTCATTTTACTTCTACTGGCTAAACTTGCTGGCTTTACTCCTCCCCCTTTGACCAACATTGTCCAGTAACTCCAAAGCCCACCGCTGTTTATCTAGTCCCAGAGCCTAGCCTCTAGGAAGAGGTCGCTGACTTATGCACAGGCCCAAAATAGGGTCACAATGCAGTTCTGAGGAGGAGCCCTCGTCTGGAATCGGGAAGCCTGGTCTCTGGCCTCTGCTCTATGAACTCGCGGTACAATCTTGCCTCCAGGCCCCAGGCTCTTCTATTAAACACTGGGAGGACGCAGTGAATTCTTAGTCTCTCCAGCTAGGGGATCCCGGCTCTCTGGTTTTCTTCTGTTGGACAAGTGACCATACAGTATGGATTTCCTGAAAGGCAGTGACAATTTTTCAATCCCTGGCACCACTGCCCATACACCACGAGCGTACTAATTCCGTGCTGGCTTCTGTCCACTTGGAAATGGCTAGAATTCTAGCCGATAGTGAAGGGGGTTTGAGAATTCCTTGGGTCAAGGTAAGCGTAACGCAGAAAAAGATCTGATTTGTTAGACTTTCAGAACTATGAATAGCTTACAGTCCCCTAGGGCTCAAGAAACAACAGCCTAGAAATCTCTATTTTGAAAGAAAGGAACACAAAAGGCGGTATATACATACAAATGGGAGTATCATTCAGCCTTAAAAAGGCTGACAAAGGCAATTCTGAGTACGCAATTCTGCTACAACACTGATGAAGCTTGAAGACCTTATGCTAAGTTGAATAGGCCATCACAAAAGGACAAAATGCTATATGATCCCACTCCTGTGAGGTACTTAGAGAATGAAATTCAGAGACAGAAAGAATGGTGGTTGCCAAGGGCTGACGGGAGAAGAGGAGAGGGGAGTTTTTATTTGTAGGTTTAGAGTTTCAGTTTTGCAAGATGAAAAAGAATCCTATAGATGGACGGTGGCAATGGTTGCGTGTGAAATGTGCCTACCACCACTGACCTACACTCTGAGAAATGGTGAAGATGGTACATTTTACAGTATGTGTACTTTACCCTAGTTTTTAAAAATGAAAAAGAAAAGAGAAAGGAACAGCTTGAACACTGAAATTCTCAGCTATGGTATTAGCATTGTATCATCAGAGCCAAAAGTAGCTACATAACATAATAGATGTCGTACATTTTTATGCCCAACCACCAATTTTCCTTCTGCTGAAAGAAACATCTCCCTACTCTGCCACTGACAACTAGTATTTTCTTACAAATCACTAGCTCAGAAAATTCCGTGACTTTCAGCCACCAGTCCACTGGAGATCACTGAGGCAGACAGGGCTAACGGGCAGCATCTTGCGGCAAAGAGAACGTGCCCCCCACAGCCGAACAGCTCCTCCAAGTGACTTCAGCTTCTCTCCCCAGAGAAGAAGAGACCCTCTGGAGAGAGGAACAGATTTCTTTTGCAAATGAAATGCATAACTTTTAGCTGTTACTGGAACCATCAACTTGAATATCAGGGAAAAAAATCCATTACGGATAACATAATCTTTCGTTTCTTCCAAATGAAAATTGACTTTGTCTCCTGAATTTCAACATGAAGATAGCTACTGCATTTTCATGCAATAAGCAGCAGCCAGGATGCAAAGGAACCAGTTTTTCCTCCTTTTCCCCCAATAATTTGCCATTTGTTTGGATTTACAAGAGCTCGCTCACCCATCTACTGCCTTAGGAAATCTTTTTACAAGATACATACTTTTTCCTTCATTTAAACTTGATACTCTGGACCTGAATAACTTTATAGCCAGGACTTAAGAAACTCGGGAAACTGCTTAAATGTTCTAAGAAGTTTTTCTTAAACAGACTTGAGAAAGAGATTTTTAAAATCAGCTATTTTTTAAACTAATACACCACCTCTCCATTTTCTGATTGTACAGAACAACTAGGGCATTTCATATGGATCTCTCACTCTTTAGAAATTCTGGCTTAGAGTCCTAGACTCCTGGAATATGCACTGCGAGCTATTCTTGGTATTTCCTAGGGTCTACGAGAAACTGAATGCTTTTCCTAGAAAGACAACATAAGCTAAGTGAAACTTCAAACTTTTTTATTTTGAGTTGGAATTGTATCAACTCAGTTTAGAAATGCTGGTATCTCACTGATTATTAAGGTCTTTAATTTTCAAAATGAAACAAATTTTGTTTTGATAAATCTAATGTACCAAATAAATTCTTTCAAAACAGATTTAGCAACCAGTGATAAATAAATGGACACCTCGGGTCTACACTCACAGAATTAAGAACTGAGAGAGAGAAGAGGCAAAAATATTATCTACAGTTTTAGAGACAAAGAACAGAATGAGGAACCATTTTATCCAAGATATCTGGTTTATGATCCCTATGGCTGTTCCCTTGGGTACCAGCTGCCTCTGAACACAGATCTGCCTGATGGGAGTCACAGGCACACTCGTTAACAATCACAGCACACACAAAATGACAATCACCAGGACAGAAATACTTGGAAGAAAACAAGCCAAGGCCAGTTACAGTATCTTGGATTTGAGTGACTACATGGTCATATAAGGAACTGTGAATCCAACAAAGAAAACAATCTCCCCAAGACATGTTTTCTGCATATTCACCTGTAAATCTGGAGAGACTAAGGGCCCTGGTAGTCAGGGATCAGCAACGAGACTTGGTATAAATTAATTAAAAAGTTTATTAGCCATAGAAAAAAATTGATTCCTTAAAACCAATTCTTGTTAAGTTCCCTGTAAAACAATAAGCTTACAGTATATTTCTTTCTCACAAACAGAAAATCACTATGCTTTTGGTCCAAGATATGTTGGGTTTCTTTCCTTCTTCTTCAGATGACAGACAGATGGATGTAGCCGAATCTATGAACGAGTGTACTTGCCCCAAATGTGCAACATAAATACAGAAGCGATGAACAGAAGACTCATAACCAATACTGGAACAGGGCCACTGGAAATAAGAAGAGAAGGCAGGCTTACTTTTAGTACTAATACATTATTTTATCTGTAACACTAAAGATTGCCTAGGGGAAAAGCAGGGGGCGTACCTGAGATTCATGCAAGAATATCATTTACAACATTTAGTAATATTCCCCCAAATTATTATTATGGATATTTTGAGGGTGTGGAAATGGCATGATGCTTACTTAGAAAGGAAAAATCCTTATCTTTTAGTAAACATACTAAAAGATACATAAATAAAATGATTTGATGTCTTGGAGACACAAGTCTCTGTAATTTCACGTACTTGATATTTTCCATAATAAAAAGTAGGAAGAAAAATTTCCCAAACTCTCTATGTGCAAATAACCCAATTACCAAACTGTTATTTCAAGTTAATATTTATTTAAAGACAACCTTCATTGTCTAACTAGAATGTATCAGACATAAAAAGACACATATCACATTCTAAGTTACAAGGTGTTTTCAAATATATAATTCCACTTGATCAACAAAACTCATGACCCAGAACAAATATTAATCTCATTTTATAAATAAGGAAAACTGATGTTCAGAGACTAATTATTACTTGCGTAACAGCACACAGCCAGAATAGGAAGGAAGAGATTTGAGCTCAGGTTTCCTAATTCCATACATAGTGCTCATCTTACTCTTTAAGGTTCCCATCTAGTTCAATTTACGAGTTTATTATAAGAAGGAAACAGATTCTACCCATCAACGCTTCCCTAATCAAATGAGTTTTTCAAGTTGAGAATTAGTACATGGGTTTCTTTGATCTCACACAACCTGTGAATGCTGGCTGGTGAAATGAGCCCCCTCCCCACCCCATTAAGATGTTGCTTCACCTCCCAGATACAACTGGGGAGTGGATATTGGAAAAGACCCCAGAAATCTTTATCGTGAAGGCAGTGAGTGGAGTAATCCAGTGGAGCAGTGGAGTAAGAGACCATCAGTGGCCGATAAACAACACAGAGATCAAAGTCCTTGCTACACTATTCCGTTCTTCCAAAATCTGTACAATTACTGAAATAAACAAATTTAAAAATACATGGGAAGCAATCTTCATCGAGTTACACTTGATCATACCCTCTACTTTGGTGCAATGTTAGAGCGACGCCAGACACAGAGCATAAAGCTGAGAGCGCAGCTCCCAGAGAGCTGGAGTCTGGGACCCAACTCTGTCACTCATGAGCTGTGACCATGGCCCTGTTACTTACCTTCTCCGAGCCTCGTTTTCCTCATCTGTAAAATGGGGACAATCCCAGCGCCTCTCCCATAGGGTTGTTGAGGTGTTAAATAAATTAATACGAACACAATGCAGGCTTACAGTAAGCTCCAGGAAATGCAATTATTATCAGCCTGAAAACAATTCTGAACTCCTAAGAAGAACCAGCAACAAGACCCAAGATGTGAATCTGTGGATATAAATTCCCATCTGCGTCCTTTCATCAAAAATATCGCTCTCCTCCTGAGGATGAAACTGTGGTTTACGACACTTCAAGGAACAGCTTCTATCCTGGGAGGACTCAAGCACTAAGCAGCAGCAAGCAAGCCTGGCGGTTCAACAACACAAAGCCCAGAGCAAAGCACAAGCCAGATGCCCACGAAGAGGTTTTACCACCTTCTTGGCAAGGGTATAGAATTAAGTCCTCTGGATACCATGAAGAGCAAGAGGCTTCAAAATTTCTCTCTGAAATACTCACAAAGATTACCTCGAACAAAGACCAAAAGGTTTTTAATACCAACTCACACATCCCAACCCCAAGAATTATTTCCTAAATACGTTCTCACCTTACAAATCTTCACGACAACAGTAAAAAATCAAGTAAAACCAAATCTCAAGAATTCCAAGGAACTTAGGAAGTCTTCCTCAACTACATTTGCAATCCAAGTCAAGTTACTAGTCAAGTTAATTAAGCTAATCCAAGTAAATGTAATTTTGTCTTTTTCTAGCAGACAAGCCACGTGGAATGAGCACGGGACTGCACAGTCAGAAGGTGTATTCCAGCTCCTGCCCTGCTGCTGGGAGTGCAAACTGGTGCAGACGCTCCGGAACACAGTGTGGAGGCTCCTCAAAACATTAAAAATAGAACTACCCTATGACCAGCAATAGCACTCCTGGGAATTTATCCAAAGGATGCAGGAGTGCTGATGCATAGGGGCACTTGTACCCCAATGTTTATAGCAGCGCTTTCAACAGTAGCCAAATTATGGAAAAAGCCTAAATGTCCATCAGCGGATGAATGGATAAAGAAGATGTGGTTTATATATCCAATGGAATACTACTTGGCAATGAGAGAGAATGAAATCTGGCCATTTGCAGCAACGTGGATGGAACTGGGGGGTATTATGCTAAGTGAAATAAGTTAAGGACAGACACCGTATGTTCTCACTCATATGTAGATCTTGAGAAACTTACCAGAAGACGATGGGGAGGGGAAGGGGAAAAAAAAAAAGTTACAAACAGGGAGGGAGGGAGGCAAAGCATAAGAGACTCTTAAATAGTGAGAACAAACTGAGAGTTTATGGGGGTGGGGGAGAGCGAAAAGCGGGTGATGAGCACTGGGCGTTGTATGGAAGCCAATGTAACAATAAATTATAATAAAAATAAATAAATAAGTAAGTGAGGGGGAAAAAAAAAAAAAGTAGTTCCAGCTCCTGCTGTCTTTGACTTGTAAGTGCCTCTGTGAGCAAACGAGCGCATCAGTATTCCAGTTCCTCAGCTGCCGGGTGTAAGGGAGGAAACAGCTGTAAGCAGTGGTGTTCTGGAGCCTCATACTCAGAGACCTGCGGATCAGGTCTGGCACACAGTACCAGAAACTGCAAGGTGAGCGAGGCCTAGGGACCCTGGACGCCCACTTCCCATCACCTAATGAGCACTGCCGGACCTACGAACTCAGAAAGTGACATGTTCACCCTCCAGGGTCTACTCACCGCCCGGCAAACGCAAGGAGGCCAAAGAACGTCTGGTAACACAGCCTGACGGAGAAACTCCCATTAGGCTGTAATAGTATCAGCCTGTTCCTCCAGGAGAGCTTTGCAAACTCACCCGACGCCAATTCAAGCGGTCACTCCTATTACTCAGGGTGGGACAAGAACACCAAATGAAGAGCAATTTCACCTCATTAAGCAGCTCTCCCTCCAGCTCTCTCTGTTCCCATTCATTTCTTCTGACACAGCCACGTGAAGATTCTCCCTTGCTGCCACTCAATCCAAGGAGAGATGTTATTCCAGGCCCTAAGCTGACTGACTGATACACAGACAAACCAAACCCAGCCCGCCTGGCACGAATGCAGCCGTTGTGCACTGTAAATCTCATCAAAGCAAACCCCGCTGGTGGCAGAGACAGCGCTGCCGACGGCCGTGCGACACTGGACAGAGATGCAAGGTCGGCTCCCAAGACTTACACCTTGAGCCCAGGGGAGTCTTCGGTGTAGAATCGCCACATGCCCCCTGTGCCTGCTGAGGTCGTGCGACCCGCACTCCTTGTTCCACAGCTAGCATTTTTTCTGGAAAGAAAAGAAATATTACAAACGGCTACTTCTCTGATGCCCTTACACCAGCATTATAACATTTGCGACCACTACGTTGTGAAAGACCAAACAAACAACAACAAAAAAAACCCACAAAAAAACCAAAAAACTTCTCTTCCCTTGAACCCCCCAAATTCTTGCTTTTACTCCATTATCAGGGTAACCACTAAGGACTGAGTACTGCCATATCCCAAGGAATACAACAACCCCAGTAAGTAGTCACCATTTCCATTTTATAAATGAGGGAAACAGGCTCATAAAAGGTTAAGTAAAGGGCCTAGGACCACACAGCCAGCAAGCAGCCAACCTAGGCAGTGGACCCAGTTCTGACTCGAGCCCATCCACTTGCCCACATAACATGGGTGCCTCATTTGGACAATGCACTTCAGTTTCTCTTCAAACGTGTTTTTGTGAAGGCAAGTAATAAACCCCTGCTTAAAAGCCCTGCATCCATATAATCAGATTTTAAAATGACTACTTTAAAGTGTTTTTAAGTTACTATACTTGCTACAAAAAAAACCAAAACAATTAAGCTCTTACTGTAATCCAAGTCCTAAAATGGAGTATACAGTTTAGAAAAAATTATTTTGTAATCCGTTTTCTCTATTTGGATATACTATCTATAGATCTTGGGCAGAGAGGTAAGATATGAAAACCGCAGACAACATCCAGCCAGAACGTCCCTCACAAGGGGATCAAGGGTTGGCAAACGAGTTGTGTGGTACAGGCAGCCCTAGAACACAGAAGTAGCCAAATAGCACTTTGCCACCGACCAGGGTACACAGGGAAAAGCCAGAAGTGAAAACCCTGCTGCCCCTATCTCTTCTCACTGCCCTTCCAGCTCTGCTCCTAATCCCGTTGCCATGGGGCCTTTACCCCAGACTCTCACCTTGCCATGGCCTTTACCCCAGACTCTAGTGCAGACACATTGATTATAGGCTATACGGTAGCCTGGGGACTTAGAAGTCCATGTGTATGGCTGTTTCCATGAGAAAGCTGATTGTAAATAGCAAACATAATCATGCAGGGATTGGAACAGCCTTTACACACAAGGATATACATCGTTTAAGCTGTGGGGTAGGTACCTGAAATTTTCCTCCTTGTTCATAAAAAGGAACTTGAACTAGATAGTAAATCCAGTATGGACAGGATAAGTCACCAGTTGAGCCAGGACTAGGACCCACGCACTTTCCACTATTCCCACAACCTCCCAACTGCAGCGCTTATTCTCAAAGTCTCCCGGAATTACAGGCGATCCAAAGAAATCAGTCTAGGCTCTTTACAGATTTTTTTATATCTACTGGCACATGGACAATGCAGAGGACTTGATAATCAGGGTACCTGGAAATACCAAATGTACTCAAAACACTACCCATCTCTCCACTGGAAAGCCAGGTGGAAGTTGACAGAGCCCATTTTAATCCCTTAAATTTCTATTAGGGGTCTATTTTACCCTTCCTTTCTGGTCACAGTGTAACTGCCTCCCACTTCCTATGCCCTATGGTTCCTTCAAAATTCCCAAGACTACAGGATGGCTATATTCCTTCATTCATTCATCATTTATTATGCCAGGTCTTATAGTAAGACAGAGATGATGGGCCATTTCTGAAAAAGCGTAACAAAACAGATGAATACAAAAATATAAATGCTACTATAACCACATGAACAAAATGCTTTGGGAGCAAAAGAGAAGACTCATAGCTACTGCTGCTTTCCAAGTCAGGAAAGGCCTCAAGAGGAAATAACCCCTGAACTTGGTCTTGCAGAATAAATAGAAATGGGTGAAGGGGCTGTCTAGTGAGTCCTGTTGGACTAAGCTCACTGCTGCTAGATCACAAAAGAGGAGAAGAGGCAAGTAGGCTGAAAAAAAACACCAAAAGCATTGGTATCCACCCCCACCCATTTTCCTTTAAAATTTCAGCAAAAAGAAGTGAGACAGAAACTAAGAAGATGTGTGACAGAATCAGGGCAGTACAGATTGGAGTGGAAGTGATCTGGAGACAAGACTTTGGTAGAAAACGCAAACGTCTAGAGGAGAGAAGCTGGGCTAAACTAGAACAGTGAAAATAAAAAAGAAAAGGACAGATGAGAAGTTTTCTGTGTCCCATTCGGTCTCACAAATGACTAAATAGAGACAGAGCATAAGAAAAATCCAACACCACCCTGAAGTTTTGGCTTTGTGAAACAAGTGTTTAGTAACAGTGCCATATGGAAGTAAAGGGAAATATAACTGGGGCAGAAGCTAGGATGAAAGGAGACTGAGTTTTGTTATCAGACAAATCCTGTTAGACTGAGTGTGATGGGGCCTCCAAATAAAAATGAGACGGGAAAGCTCAGGACCAAAGACCGGTTTAATAACATCAGTTTTCTCAAAGTTGTCTCTGATCCAACTCGTGTGTTAACTTTACTTTTTTAACAGCGGTGTCCCAAACTGAACAATCGGAAGAAAACACTGCCTCCCTCTCGAGACACAAAAGACCTACAGCCACGTCGCCTGAGGCTCATTTTGCCCTGGTGATTCATTCCGGGGTCTCCTCCGGACCAGCGAATTCTTGGGCCCCATCTCTCTGACACCACAGCCAGAGGGTCGCGGGAATCCTTACCTCTGCCGGACCGTGGATCCGGCCGCCCGGGCAGCCACCGCTTTGCTGGGAGAGCGCCCTGACGAGCCCACATTAGTACCACTGGGAGTCGGACCAGGCTACAGAGAGAGACGATACGAGAGTGTGAGCGCCGCCGGCACGCCCCCAGACCCCAGGCCCTGGCGGCCAAGACCAGCACCCGCACGGCAGGCTGGGGACAGCGAGGCTGCCACAAGCGGAGGGCAAGGCAGAAAGCAAGAGACGGGGCGCCAGGGAGAGGAGGAGTCAAAGAGGGAAGACCGGGGCCGCCATACCATGCTGGAGACTGGAAGGAGTTGGAGGCAGAAACTGACAGCCAAGGATCGGTGAAGACCTCAAAGGCCCAGCGGCAGGAGAGGCTGGCTCAGACCCCGCCCCCAGGCCCCCGGCAGGGTCCTCGGTGGCTCCAGGGACGCCTGGGTTGTCCCACCATATGCCTGCATAAATTTTGTTACAGGAGACTTGATCAGTCGCTGCGTGGGAAATGCAGACCTTCCGCCTGCTTCCTTTGGATCGCAGCGCCCTCCATAGAGTCTAATCCCTACCAAAGGGAGGATACAGACACGGTCAGACGAGAAATTCCCTCTGGCAGACATTGGGCGCCCGCAGATTTGCGCTGATGTGGCCTAACCGACGCAGGCGCCGCGAGGCGTGGTCGGCCCCGCAGAGGCCCGCTGGGAGCCGGAGAGGAGCATGCGCGGAACCCCGCAGGGGCGCGGGGCGCTGGCGCGACATCCCGGCCATGGCGGAGGAGCGGGGCCGAGACGAAGACCCTGGTCCCAACCCGTCGGTGCTGTTCCTGCACCCGGACCTGGGCGTGGGCGGCGCCGAGCGCCTGGTACTGGACGCGGCGCTGGCGCTGCAGGCGCGCGGATGTAGCGTGAAGGTCTGGACCGCGCACTACGATCCGAGCCACAGCTTCGCGGATAGTCGCGAGCTGCAGGTGCGCTGCGCGGGCGACTGGCTCCCGCGCAGCCTGGGCTGGGGCGGCCGCGGCGCGGCCGTCTGCGCCTACGTGCGCATGATCTTCCTGGCGCTGTACGTGCTGTTTCTCGGCGACGAGGAGTTCGACGTGGTCGTGTGCGACCAGGTGAGGCGGCCGTGAGTTCGGCCACGCCCGACCCCACCTCGCCTCCTTTTCCCAGTAGGGAGGGCGCACTGCATGGCATCTGCTGAGCTCTCCCGGTCTGCGGTTCGGAAAGATCCGAACTGATCTGGAGAGATGAGAATTGGGAGTGAGACTAGTTCTCGAACTTTAGTGTGGACACGTTAAAGTTGCACGTTGTCACAGGGCCCCATTCTCAGAAGCTTTCATCCTGGAGCCCTGGGGTGGGGCCCAGAAAGCTGCATTTTCGCTGGATCATCGGCGATTCTGAAATAGATGGGCCTTGGGGCTTGCTTTAAGAAGCAGAAGCATTAGAAGTCAGCCTTCAGTCACCTTTCACTTCTGAGTAACTTGCACTTCTTCTCTCTTTGCATTATTTCTGTTGACACTTCCAGGCCACATGCATCCCACTGCCTGTAGCTTTTGAGGCCAAGCCACCCCATTCGTCCTCAGTGTAGTGTTAAAAACACCAAGCTAAGCATGTCATGCCCCTGTTAAAACTTTAACATGGCTCCCTATTAGGCTTGGGAGAAGTCAGAGTTCTTTATCTCTATAAATAATGTCTACTTGGATCTGGGCTCTAGCTATTTTGGACTCTACGCCTTTTTCTTTTCTTCTTTTTGTTTTTTCCCCTCAATTTATTTTAGAAAGTAACGTTTATTCACAACAAAAATTCAAATAGTATAAATGTCCCATCTCAGTTCCACTCCGTAAAAGTAGCCACTGTTAGCAGTTTCTCCTGGATTCTTCCAGAAATTGCCTGTGGCTGCTCTAGCATATGTGTCTGTTCTCAGATGCATCTTAATTGTAATAATGAGGATTGTGGCACACCTACTATATGATAACCTTTTTTTCATCCCAAATTTCTGTTTGAGATCCGTATATATCAATATTAGAGATTCACTTCATGCTTCATAATGGTTGCTGGAAAATCTGCTTTTGTTTGAAAGTACTATAATTTATACATTATTCTGTTAAAGGACACTCATTGTGACCAGTTTTTTGCAAATAGATCAGTGTTGTAGTGGGCATCCTTGTATCCTTTTTCTTTGTACTTCTGTCCGCATGTCCTTTGAGTAAATTCCTAGAAACGAAGTTGGTGTCCAAGAGGGGTTTTTTTTTAATTATTTTTTAAATATTTATTTATTTTTGAGAGAGAGAAACAGAACATGAGCAGGGGATGGGAAGAGAGAGAGGGAGACCCAGAACCTGAAGCGGGCTCCAGGCTCTGAGCTGTCAACACAGAGCCCAACGTGGGGCTTGAACCCACAGACTGTGAGGTCATGACCTGAACCGAAGTTCCAAAGTCGGGTGATTAGACTCAGCCACCCAAGGGCCCCTCCAAGAGTTTATTTTATTTTATTTAAAAAAATTTTTTTTGATGTTTATTTATTTTCAAGAGAGAGAATGGGGGAGGGACAGAGAGAGAGAGACAGAATCCCAAGCAGGCTCCAGGGTCTGAGTTGTCAGCACAGAGCCTGACATGGGGCTTGAACCCATGAACCTCAAGATCATGACCTGAGATGAAGTCAGACACTTAACCGATTGAGCCACCCAGGTACCCCCAAAGAGTTTATTTTAAATATCAATAGCTATTGACAAATTAAGCTTTCAAAGAGGTCGTGTCACTTTGCTCTCCCACAGTGTTATTCCTTTTATTCCATCCATGTTCTTCCTGCTCATGTTATTCCTGTTATTCCATGCTCTTGTGCACATTGGGTGTTATCAACCATTTTAATCTTTGCCAAACTGATAAGTGGGAAAGGTTTCACATTTGTAATTGTGTGTTCCTTTAATTGTTCTTCCTGAATTACTTTGGTCATCCTTGCTTGTATAGAAGCTGTTTCTTTTTAAGAAATGTGGACATTTCCAAATATCCTGCATGTGTAACTAGTCATTAAGCATGAGGCAGCTGGCGCCCGCCTGGGTGGCTCAGTCGGTTGAGCATCCGACTTCGGCTCAGGGCATGATCTTGCAGTCTGTGAGTTTGAGCCCTGCGTCGGGCTCTGTCCTGACAGCTCAGAGCCTGGAGCTGTTTCGGATTATGTGTCTCCCTCTCTCTCTGCCCCTCCCTCGCTCATGCTCTGTCTCTCTCTCTCTCTGTCAAAATAAATGAACATTAAAAAAAAATTTTTTTAAGTAACTGAAGAGTCATCCCAAGATCATCTGTTTCGTCCTAAAATTTAATAAAAAAAAAAAAATTAAAAAAAAACCTTGAGGCAGCTGAGACTAGTGAATAGGGGGAAAAAACAGCTTGGAAGTAGGAGACCTGGATTTGGTTCCATATCTGCTACTTTCTAACAAGAAGCTTTGGATAAATCTCGCAGTATTCTTCAGGTGATAAGTGAGCTAGAGATCAAGTAACTTATACAGATTACCCAACAGGAGGGTCTCTAGGAATGCCAGCATATATTCATGCTTAGTAATGATTATGGTTAACACTTATTGAGCACATACTGTGTGCTAAATTCTTAAGCATTTTACACGCACCTGTGCGTTTAATAATCACAAAAACCATACAAGGGTTTTTGGAACTGCAGCTGTCGCCATGTTACAGAAGAGAAAACTGAGGCACAAAGAGAGGTAGATTACTTGCTCGTGGTCACACAGCTGGCAATCTTGATTCCAGAGCCTATACTATAAACTACTATAGTTCATCTAGTTCCTTAGGAGGAGAAACACTAGATAGAGCTGCTGTGTCCATTGTGGTAGTCACTAGACACATGTGGCTCTTAAGTACTTGAAGTGTGGCTAGTCTGAACTGAGATGTGGTGTAAGTGTAAAACATACATCTGATTTTAAAGGTTTTGGGGCGCCTGTGTGGCGCAGTCGGTTAAGCGTCCGACTTCAGCCAGGTCACGATCTCGCGGTCCGTGAGTTCAGGCCCCGCGTCGGGCTCTGGGCTGATGGCTCGGAGCCTGGAGCCTGTTTCCGATTCTGTGTCTCCCTCTCTCTCTGCCCCTCCCCCGTTCATGCTCTGTCTCTCTCTGTCCCAAAAATAAATTAAAAAAAAAAAAAAAGGTTTAATGTGGAAAAATCAAATGTAAAGTGTCTTTTATGATAATTGATTACATTTTGGAATAATAAGAATTTGATATTCTTTAAATTTCACCCTTAAAAAATTTGTAGTATGGTTACTAGATTTTTACTTCTGTCGAACAGTGCTGTTCTAGAGGAAACATTTGGATTTGCAGCTCTAAGTACTTAGCACACAGCCAGCAGGTGTCTGTGAGCCTTCTATACACCAGCCATTGTACTGGATGAGAGTCTAGGGGAACATAAGCAGAATCAAACATTGCCCACGGTGAGCCCACAGACTAGCAGGCAGGGTGGATGGGTATGCTTTTGACTGGTTGAAGTTGAGTTGACCAGTCTATATCTGTTGTTGATTTTTGCTTTGGCTAGGTGTCTGCCTGTATCCCAGTGCTCAAGCTGGCCAGACGGCGTAAGAAGATCCTGTTTTATTGTCATTTCCCAGATCTGCTGCTCACCAGGAGAGATTCGTTGCTTAAACGCTTATACAGGGCTCCGATCGACTGGATAGAGGAATATACCACAGGCATGGCAGACTGCATCTTGGTCAACAGCCGGTTTACAGCTGCCATTTTCAAGGAAACATTCAAGTCCCTATCTCACGTAGACCCTGATATCCTCTACCCATCTCTGAATGTCACCAGCTTTGACTCAGCTGTTTCTGAAAAGCTTGATGACCTCATCCCCAAGGGGAAGAAATTCCTGTTCCTCTCCATCAACAGATACGAAAGGAAGAAAAATCTGACTTTGGCGCTGGAAGCCCTCATAAAACTGCGTGGAAGATTGACATCCCAAGATTGGGACAAGGTTCACCTAATCATGGCAGGTGGGTATGACGAAAGAGTCCTGGAGAATGTGGAACACTATCAGGAATTGAAGAAAATGGTCCAGCAGTCCGACCTTGCACAGTATGTGACCTTCCTGCGGTCTTTCTCAGACAAACAGAAAATCTCACTCCTCTGCGGCTGTACCTGCGTGCTTTACACACCAAGCAATGAACACTTTGGCATCGTCCCTTTGGAGGCCATGTACATGCAGTGCCCAGTCATTGCTGTTAATTCAGGTGGGCCCTTGGAGTCCATCGTCCACGGTGTCACAGGGTTTCTGTGTGAGCCTGACCCTGTGCACTTCTCAGAAGCAATGGAAAAGTTCATCCATGAACCTTCCTTAAAAGCCACAATGGGACTGGCCGGGAGAGCCAGGGTGAAGGAAAAGTTTTCCTCTGAAGCTTTTACGGAACAGCTCTACCAGTATGTCGCCAAACTGCTGGTATAATCAGAATTTTTTAAAGGCCTTTATGCTGTATTCATAATTCCATTTTCTGTAGCTTGTAGACTCACTTTTGAAACCAAGAAAGAAACCTAGAATCTATTGCAGACAAGATTAAAAGAAAAATATACTTGAATCTGAGCCACTTTCCTATACACCACACCTTCCCATCTACTTTTTCAGAAAAAGACGGTATGTTTTATGCTATGATTATTCCACGTCTTACCAGTATTGATTAAGATATAAAAATGGTACAGTTCTACATTCAGCAGAGTATTTTTTTTTTTTTTCAAAGTTTACTTATTTTTGGGACAGAGAGAGACAGAGCATGAACGGGGGAGGGGCAGAGAGAGAGGGAGACACAGAATCGGAAACAGGCTCCAGGCTCTGAGCCATCAGCCCAGAGCCTGACACAGGGCTCGAACTCACGGACCGTGAGATCGTGACCTGGCTGAAGTTGGACGCTTAACCGACTGCACCACCCAGGCGCCCCTTCAGCAGAGTATTTTAATTATATTTTCTCTGGATTTTTGTTGCTCTGCCTATGAGTTTTGAGTCATAGTGTGCCTTACTTGGTTTTGATAGTCTAAGTACGTCATCATTAAAGTCGATTAATTTGGGTTCATAGCATAATGAAAACAGGGTCACCGTAGTTCCCAAAATCAATGCACCTAAGCCTTCACTGTCCTCCGTTAGGAAATTTTTGTTAGTCATACCTTTTGCCTGGATCCATAGCAAGAATGTTCTGTACTTTTTTACAAAGATGATTTATTATATTTTTGCACACTGAGACATTACATTAATAGATGTTTATCATAGGAAAAGAAAATAACATTAGATTTGGACCTCTTGATCTGTGTGGTATTGTTAGGAACGTAGACAACCAGGTCTGAAGTCCAAAACTAGAGTAAACTAGATGTTGAAGTGAGGGGACAGTGTCACTCATGAGTGTGCCTCTTCCGTATGGTTAGCATCTTCATGTCCTCAGAGTCCTCAGCTTTGTTAATGTTGGTGTTTTGTTAAGTGAGCTCCTACCAAGTGTAAGGCACAATTGCTTTGTATCCTTCAAGGCCTGCCTTAGGTGCCATGGCTGTGAGGCTTAACCCTCCTCCCTCCTCCCAGCCTGCACGTGGTGTTTGCCTTCCATGTACCCTAGCCCTTTCGTGGCACTGACCAGTCTTACAGTTCCTTACTTAGCTGTTGGTCTAAGGACAAATAAACATTAAAGCACTTTTCAACGTATCTTTACAGATAAACTTATTTTTTTATTCCCTCCCAACGTGGGGCCTGAACTCACAACCCTAAGATCAAGAGCCCCATGTTCTACCAACTGATCCAGTCAAGCACCCCAAAAGCTAAATTCAATTTTTTTTTTAGTTTATTTATTTTGAGAGAGAGCGCATGTGAGCCGTGGAGGGGCAGAGAGAGAGGGAGAGAGAGAATCCCAAGCAGGCTCCGCATCGTCAGCACAGAGCCCAACACAGGGCTCAATCCCACAAACCGTGAGATCATGACCTGAGCCGAAATCAAGAGTCAGACAGACACTCAACTGACTGAGACACCCAGACACCCCAAATTCATTTTTAAAAAAGAGCAGTGATCGCTAGCTAAAGGCCCCACGTTCATCAATTCTCAGAGCACAGACCTGAGAGCCTAACAGCCTGTGTCAGTGACTTTGGGCAAATCACTTAATTTTTGTGCCTCAGCTTCTTCATCAGCTGTAATATTCTATGTTCTTCACAGAATAGTTATGATAGATTACCATAATATATGTAAAGTACTTAAAACAGTACTTGGCACGTGGGATGGGCTACATAAATGTTAGCTATTTTGTAATGTGGGGATATTGAAAACTGCAGAAGTTCCATGTGGGTTCATGCTGCGCTTTGGGGTTCTTTACAGAATGGACTTTCAGGTTGTAATTTATCACCTTAGTCTGTATCTCGGGAATATTTTAATATTTAATATGCAATAAAATGACTGTACCAAAAAAGGAGTTCTCTAAAATGAGAGTCAAATACATGAAGTCTTTTGTGGAATGAAAAGTTGAGTTTGCTTTTCTTTGTCATTGTGAAAGCTTACAGTCCAATAAAGTTGGTCATCCCCGTTTTGTGGGTTTTGTGTTTTGTGCCCTGGTGCACGTGTTCCTCCAAGGAACCACAGGCTTTGCAGAAAGGCCTGGTGGCTCAGACCACTGAGTTTAGGACAGAGTCATGCATGCTCTGATGGATAACTGGTGTTTACCCCTTCAGAGCACTACAACTTTTGCCTGTTTGGCCATTTTTACGCAGATCCTAACAAAATGGACTACAGGACTTCACGGGCCTCAAGTTTAATTTCCCTTCCTTGTCTACCCCGGCAGGTGACAATAAGACCAAAGATGGGGGGTGAAGGATGCAGAACTCTGCGTGCCGTGAGCTTCTAGCCCCTGATGGATTCGCTCCTGGCTCCTAGACCTAGGATGGAGCTTTGCCCATAAGACGTATTCACAGCTTCCAAAACTAAGCTGGAGTTAGGGAAAATAGAAGCACGGCACACTGAAGTGAGTTGTCCAGGACCCGATCAATAGTAATTCTTCTAGCAATCACTGTGTGCTGGGCATGACAATACATAGCAGACAACTGATCTATCCTAACGGTTCTATGAGGCGTGTTAGGTTCTTGCCTTTATAGATGAGTGTGGTTAAGCAGCTTGCCTGTGTCACACAGCCCGGAGGGATGAACAGTCTCCAGGTTCTCCGGTTCCACAGTCCAACCACTCTACCATTCCGTTTGCCTTCCCCCTAAGCAAACTCTGTGTGGCCCTTCTTCCGTGAAACCCTCTACAGCACTGCAGGCGGGCCTGTTGAGGTCCTCAGGGTTAGAAAGGTTTTGCCAGTCATTTTCCCTTTTCAGCCTCAGAGCCATCTCGTGAGATGCCTGTGGTTAGCCCCCATTTTATCCCCGAGGGAGCTCAGGGAGATGAAAGGCTTGCTCAAGGGTACACAGCTAAAAAGGGAATGAGCCAGTATTCACCACAGCTACCCAATCCATCCAGGACTGCACATACCAGGAAATCTTAGCCCGTCCCCCCTCGGTAAATACCGCAAACTTCAGAGTTTGCAAAGGTCTTTCCAGGTTGTCTCATTTGCTCTTCACAGGATCGCTCCAGATAGTTCTTGTAGCTGTGTTGACAGTGCAAAAGCTGCAGCTTGCAGCTAGGAAGCCCTGGGGCTGTAACGAACCCAGCTGTCTGATGCCAGATCGGCAAGGTCCAACAGATGCCTCTCCAGTAAATGCTTCGCCACCTCTACCCTGCCCAGTCCCCAGCCCACGTGTGCTACCTGGCTCCACCTCTCCTAACGTAAGGAGAATGAAGCACCTACGCGCACGCTTCACCGACCTGCTGTCTGTTCGCCTCTGTCAGTGGCGCCAACTGCCCTGTGACCGCCTTTCTTTGCGTTTCCAACTCCCACTATCAAATCCACTCAGCTGAATAGGACCCCAGAGGTCACCCAGCCTAATTTGTTCTGGCACAGGTGGGAAAACTGAGGCCTCAAAAGAAAAAAGGACCTGCCTGAGGTCACACAGTGTCATCGTAACTCTCCTCTAACTGCTTAATGAGGCCCCTCACATCCCCTCCACTTTTATCAAAAACCTCATCTCCTGCCACTTCCTTTGAACCCTTCAGTTTTTTATCCCTAACCTGAGCCTCTGCAACTCCATCCCCAGCAGCCTGTGAGGATGCCACGATCCAGACACCAGTGCCATGCCTACTAGCTGGGGGATGGGAACTTTCCAAATGCCAGACTCCATTTCCAACCTGTCCTCTGATCAAACAGTAACCCTTGGGAGGGAGGAAAGGGAGGGATTTTACCATACTGATTCCTGAGCCAAGGGGCTGCTGGAGCCAGCACTCTGGCCTTGTCAGAAGGATCGCAGGATTGCGTGGGGCTCACAATAAGGGTGAATTGTTGTGACCCAGAGATGTGAACATGAGCAAAACTATCACTAGGCCAGCTACTGATGTCATTTCAGACAACTATAGAAGAGTGAGAGAGAGTGTGTGTGTGTGTGTGTGTGTTGGGGGCGGAGGGGTACAGGCGTAGATGGGGCTTACCTTTGTGACCTGCCACTCACCCAAGATGTTGGCAGGCACAATTAGAACAGACTGCTAAAACGATTAAATCAGATTGGCCTTTGTTTTTCTGGATTACTTCTAGAATTCCAGGGTTCCACAACTATTGAGAAGGTGTCTTGATGCCAATAATCCTGAAGTCTACATTTCCTTATCCATAAAGTGGTATGATCAGAACTGAGTAGCCTGCCCCACAGGGCAGTTGTGGAGAAGGACAGATAAGAGTGAGTTGGAGGGGCTGAATCAGTATGTAAATGAGTGAGCCAGAGGATGTGAAGCTGATTTGTAAATTACAGCGTGTCATGAGCTTGTTAGGGATGAAGGCAGTGTTTCACAGGCTGGATGAATTGCCCTTAAGAGTAGCGTTGGGAGTCTGCCTGTGCCAGGGCAAGTCACACCGTGGGGCAATGGACCGGTGGTTTAAACCACCCCAAAAGGAGTAGTTCCCTGTCAATTTGTGCACTGCTTAACTCAACATTGGGAGGTTTCCCAACAGTCAAGGCAGTGTGGTACCAAAGTGAGGACAGACGACAAATAGATCAATCCAACAGAACTGAGTCCTAAAATACATCACATATGCAGTCAATTGATTTTTGCCAAAGGTGCTGAGAAACTCAACGGGGAAAAGATTTGTCTATTCAAGAAATGGTGTGGGACAATTGGATACCTGTATGGGGGAGAAAAAAACCTCAACCTTTACCACACACGATACACAAAAATAAACTTGAAGGGGATTCTAGGCCTAAATATAAAAGCTAGACTGCAGAACTTAGAAAAGAAAACAGAAGAAAATCTCCATAACCTTAGGGTAGGGAAAGATGTCCTAGATAGGACACAAAAAGCACAAAGCCTAAAGGGAGAGATTGATAAGTCAAGTCTCATCAAAATTAAAAACTGCTGCTCTTCAAAGGACACTGTGTTTTAAAAAAATGAAAAGGCAAGACACAGACTGAGAGAAAATATTCATAGTTAATTTATCTGATAAAGACCTGCAGCCAGGATATGTAAAGAATTCTTAACAACTCAAAAGGACAAATAACCCACATTTTTTAAAGAGCAGAAGATTTGAAAGGCCACTTTGCAGAAAGTACGCACATAGCCCATAAGCACATGAGAAGATGCTCAACATCATAGGTCATCAAGAAAATGCAAATGTAAACCACAACGAGATGCCAGTACATGCCCATAAAATGAAAGACTCTCAGTAAGAATGTTGACAAGCATATGGAACACCTAGACTCTCACCCATTGCTGGTGGAAATATTAAAAAGTACGCTTTGGAAAGCACTTTGACAGTTTCTTACAAAGTTAAACATGACACCAGCCGTCCAAACCAACAATTCCACTTCTAGGTATTTTGCTTAAAATAAGTGAACACATATATCTGAACAAAGACTTATTCACATATTCATAGCAGTTTAATGTATTAATGGTCAAAAGCTGAAAACAATCCAAGTGCCCATCAATAGGTGAATGACAATAGATCAACAAAATGTGGTTGTATCATACAATGGAACACTTCTCGGCAATAAAAAGGAATGAACTAGCAGTAAACACAATGACACGGATGAATCTCAAAAGCCTGCTGCTGAGTGAAAGAGGCCAGGCACAAAAGAATTCATACTGTCAGTAGGAAACTTCAGAGAAAAAAATCCAATCTACAGTGACAGAAAGCGGGTCACTATTTTCTTGCAGCCCAGGGTGAGGCCGAGACCAGCTAGGTAAGGGCATAAAGAAACTTTGTGAGGATGAAAGTGTTTTATGTATTTATTATGATGCTGGTTATAAAGATGTATGAATTTATCAGAACTAATAAAATATGGGCTTAAAATAAGGGTATGTTATTGTATGGAAATTAAACCTCATAAAGTTGTTTTAAAGCACATGTGCTGCAGTTTCATTTTTATGGGAAATGAAAGACGTTGTAAGTGAATAAATGTGAAAGGACAGGAGCATAGGTAATTATAAAAGTTTCTACTAGAACATACACCAATGTGATGACTTTGGTTGCCCCCAGGTAAGTGTGACTGTCAAAATGCATTAAATTCTTCTTCTATGTGTATTTTCTGAAGTGGCATAAGTTGCCTTTCTCATAAGAAAATAAAAGAAAATTGGGGCGCCTGGGTGGCGCAGTCGGTTGAGCGTCCGACTTCGCTCAGGTCACGATCTCACGGTCCATGAGTTCGAGCCCCGCATCAGGCTCTGTGCCGACAGCTCAGAGCCTGGAGCCTGCTTCAGATTCTGTGTCTCCCTCTCTCTCTGGCCCTCCCCCCATTCATGCTCTGTCTCTCTCTGTCTCAAAAATAAATAAATGTTAAAAAAAAAAAATTAAAAAAAAAAAAAAAAAAAGAAATAAAAAAAGAAAATAAAAGAAAATTGAACATAAAAGTATAAAAGAATCTTAATGGTCAGTTATGTTTTTACAACATATTTTTAGACATTTGTGTTTCTGACGATGGCCCTACTGGGGACGTACAGTTTGTTCTATATTAATCTGTATTATTATGTATCAAAATTAGTCCAACTTTTTACAGTTATGAGCAGCCTCAAGGAGAAATAACTTTAATTTCTAAAAGCAAATATGTAAACTTTTAAGAAGGAAATTTCAAAAGGAAAAGCATAAAAAAATAGACACATGAGAAGGTTGCCAAACCGCCTACCAATACACACACACAAAAATAGCAATTGTCAAAAACAAAAATCACTAACTGGTAATGTTTCTTTTCAAACCAAATCACCATGTTGACCAGCTTGCTTTCAGCCAAATGTGAGGCCTCTGTTGTGTTGTGGGACCAGGAAACCTAACTCAATACTCCAGTTCACTAGAGCAGTACAATATCCTGTGTCAGGACGTATGTACCACTATTTAACATTCTTCACAATTAGGACTCTTGGTTGCAAGTGACAGAAACCCAATACTAGCTTAGGAGGCAAGGGAATTTTGGGGAATCTGCAGGGATGGATCATGTTATCACAAGGAAAAGTTGCACACCGGAACCAGGAGAAGTGCAGGGGTGTGTCTGGCTTGAGGATCAAATAAAACTAGAAATTCAGATGCCACCAGAATACCATTTCTGTGTAGGAGACTTCATTGTCATTCATTGTAGACCAGTTTCTTCCTCGTGGCAGGAAACACAGTCACCAATAGCAGCAGAGACCTCCCTCTTACTCCCTCTTGCATCATCCAGGTGGATCAGGTCCTCTTTCTCAGAGTTTGGAGAAACATCAGTGAAGGACGGAGACAGACCCTTCTCTTAATGCAGCAAGTCAGGGGCAAATTTCTACGGTTTGCTAGGCGCAGGTTGATTCCCACAGACTGTGGCCAGGATCCAGAATCCAGGATCCCACAGCAGCAGGACTCCTACAGCTAGGAGAAGGAAGCCCAGGGCAGAGGAAAGAGGCAGAGGTCAGTGAGTCAGGCAGACAAAGCAGGTGTCCTCTCCAGTACTTAAAATGGAGATCCTTTAAAATAGTCCACTCAATGGCCCTGGCAAACAAACCATCCCTTCCCACGTACATTTTGCCAATTGCTTCCACTTTTACAATAAACCCACTATCTGTTTAGGCCCACCTTGTGCAAGGGACTGGAATAAAGAAATGAAATTGCTAACATGTAATACTCTGTAAGTAGAATTCTGCATTGTTTGATATTAATATTCCCAAACCTGATTTTCTTGATCACATTTGAGTAATCATATTTTACCCATATTTTAACTTAGAATATTTTATTTTTTGGTTTGTTTAATAAGAGGAGCAAGCTTGGATTTAGGGGTTTTTTCCCCCTTCATATCTAAGAGTATTGGCCTTTGATTTTTTTTTTATTTTTTTTTAATGTTTACTTATTTTTGAGAGAGTGTGAATGGCGGAGGGTCAGAGAGAGAGGGAGACACAGAATCTGAAGCAGGCTCCACCCTCTGAGCTGTCAGCACAGAGCCTGACATGGGGCTTGAAATCATGGGCTGTGAGATCATGAGCTGAGCCGAAGTCAGACACTTAAGTGACTGAGCCATCCAGGTGCCCCAGCCTTTGATGTTTAATGAACAATTTACCAGAATTGCTTTTATTACACCTTTAGATAGGTAGGAAGGTAGGTAGGTAGGTAGATAGATAGATAGATGATAGATAGATGATAATCTGTTCTACCTTTTTTTTTTTTTTTCTTAAAAAAAAATTACCTGCTTTCTGGGGCGTCTGGGTAGCTCAGTCGGTTAGGAGTCCGACTCTTAGTTTCGGCTTGTGTCATGATCTCACAGTGTGTGAGTTCAAACCTCTCGTCAGGCTCTGTGCTGACAGCGCAGGGCCTGCTTGGGATTCTCTCTCTCTCCCTCTCTCTCTGGCCCTCCCCCCACTCACTCTCTCTCCCTCTCTCTCTCTCTCTCTCAAAAATAAATAAATAAAACTTAAAAAAAATTTTTTTAAATCACCTGCTTTCTCTTTCCCATTCTTCATTCTTTTGATCTGCATTGTTATATGCTGTTATCCCATTATTTTAATATAAATAATTTCTTTCAAGGTATTTTAATCTTTTGATGTCTATTTAACAAGATACTCACTATGATTGCTTAGACTTCTTTCAGTGCAATCCACTGGTCTCACTGCCTTCCTACAAGCTCTTAGCTGCCATCCTTGTGTTCCCTCCGTGCAAATACTACCTTTGAATGACATATTTTTCAGAGAGAATATAGGCATTTGCATAATTAATTCCTACTGCTTTCACATATAAGTAGCTTGATTATATATACACTCTTGAATCCCATGTTTTTCTTTTAAAGCTTTGCAAATGTGTTATATTCTAGGCAGCTTTTCCTATAGTATGTTCTGGGGGAATAAGCTGTAAGAGATGCTTCTGGTAAAAGGACTCCGTGATCATATAAATATGGGAAATGTCCCATACACCTGGAGTTGTGCCAGATAAAGCAGCATAGTGAAGGCCAGGAGACATCCTGACGTAATGAACGTGGTTTAACTTTATTTTCAATGTATCCAATCTACTTGACCACAGTAACATTGAGAAAAAGCAAATGACCAATAATATGGAAACTGTTAACATTTGTTGAGCACACGCTTAAGCCAGGCACTGTTCTAGGGCTTATTCTATGTACATCAACTCATTGGATTCTCATAGCAGCTCTATATGGTTGATAGAATTTTTCAGCCATATTTTAACAGGCAAAATGAGCTTAAACAAATAAGCTAGAAAACGGGGAATTCAAACCCAACCAGTCAGCTCGGCATTACTCACAGCCTCAAGTGTTGGTAGGTGAGGGCACGATAAAGGCAACTTCTATACATTTTCCAAGTCTGAAACACATAACAAAACATCTCATTGCACCAAAAAGGAAAGGGAACTTTCCACCAACCAGTCTCTAACAGAATTCGCTGCTAAAGTACCGCAAAGGTACTTTGCAGGGTAGTCTGATTATCATCAGCACAAGTTCTCAAACTCTGCTGTTGGCCAACGTCCAGGACCCATCACTGAATGCTCATCACCTCATCCATTCAGCCCCTTCGACTGACGGGCAAAACAACATCCAAATATTCATTGCACATCTGTGCCGGGCAGATTATACATTAGCAATTCAAATCTGGCCAGCGCACCGGCCATCCCTGCACATGCGTCTGTTTGGGTGAGATGCCTTGTTGTCTGGGACGGATAATAAGGCAACTCGGTCTAATCTTGAAGAACAATCAACCCATCTTGCGAAGGTGACTGGCTGTGTGTGTTCTTGCCCTGGCAGCGTTGGAACAATGGCCCCATAATGCACTCGACTCAGCTGGCGATGAAGTCCCATCCTGATTAGTAGCCGTGGCTGGTGTCAATCACCACGGGATGCACCATTGTCCTCTGGTTCCAACACCGTTTATTTACAGGAAAACAAAGGCTTTGGGGGGCTATGGCTGCTTCCCAGAGATTGCAAAATAGATTGAGCTGTCAAACACACAAAGTGGATGAAGATTAATGAGTCGTGTGGACAATAAATGTGAAGAGATGACCATGAATATGCTAATGGGCATTATCCAGATACACCGTAATTGCTACCAAAATTAAAAGGTGGCATGAAGAAGATGGGTCACAAGGTGACAGGGAGATAATCTTGGATGCTTGAGACACTCACCCCAGATAAGACCCTCTACAGGTTTCCTTCCCCCGATTAAACCATCCCGAAGCATCATTGTTCTCAAGCTGTCTGAATAGCCTCCTTTTAAACAGGGACAGAAGGGGTGGGGTGGGGGTAAAGCTGGAAAAGTTACTTCAGGGGAAGGTGCAATTTGTATAAGGAAGGTGCTTATCAAAGGCAAGAAACGACGGGCTGTCAGGCTCCCTCCGCACCCCCCGGGGACAGAATGAGGGACGCCACTTCAAACTTGGGGACCCCCCAGGCCAGAGCCGCAGAGATTATGACAGGCACCAGACTGTTATTAGATCACCTTTCAGGCAGGAGTGGGTGAGTTTTCAAAGTATTCCAATACACTGGTGATTTTTTTTTAAATAGACATAACAGAGAAATTTGAAGAACATAATGTTTAAAAGCGAATGAAATTTTGTTTCCATGAACGATTTGAGTGGGGAGAATCCTTACCCTGTGGAACTGTGGCGTGACTCTCACCCAACCCTGCAGCCAGTCCACACAGTCTTCCACGTGGCGGGACACTGTTCCCTGATCCCATTCACCCCTGTCTTCCTTTCCATCCTCATGTCTGTGGATGGTGGCTAAGTTCGAAAAACAATATACTGGAAGTAACTCTCCGAGAGACCATGAACCCTGAGAAGAGAAAATGGTTCTTGTTTTATAGTTTCTATCCTCTGGGGGATCTGGGACCTTGGACCTCACCCCCCAGAGGTCTATGGAGCATCACTCCTTGATGGGAAGAACTCTCCTCTGCTCCTTCAGGTTCGAGACCGAGCTCTTTTTCCCCGGCCCACCCCAGGGAAAGGGCTAGCAGGTTTCAGGAAGACGACAGAGGATAGAAAAGAGGAAGGATGGTCAGGAGAAAGAAGGGGTCCTAGGGACTGTCTGAGGCTGACTCCGTCTGGGCTGAGATCTGCATAACGGGAGAAAAAAGGGATTTTGCACAAAAGTCAAACAGCCTTACTGAAAGGGGTGGAGCAGAAGGTGCTGCCTGAGGTAACTCTGCGAGTTAGTGGTGTCTGCAAAACCAAAGGCAAAAGCAGGCAAAAGCGGGGCCCCTGGGTGGCTCAGTCGGTTAGGCGCTGGACTTCGGTTCAGGTCGTGATCTCACAGTTCGTGGGTTTGAGCCCCGCATCGGGCTCTGTGCTGACAGCTCGGAGCCTGGAGCCTGCTTCGGATTCTGTCTCCTTCTCTCTCTGCCCCTCCCCACTTGTGCTCTGTCTCTCTGTCTCTCAAAAATAAATAAATGTAAAAAAAAAAAAATAAAAAAAAAACAACTAAAGGCAAAAGGAATGACACATAAACCTCTTCTACTGTAGTTGACAAAGTTGTTTCCCATTGGGGTGAGGGTTAATTCTGAACCTACTTTGTGGGTACACTGGAATTGGACACTGACCTAAATGGATGGCAGATGAGGGAGAGGTTTCTCATTGTGGGCGTGGGAGGTTCGCAGGTACTGAGTGCGCAATGGATGGGAGCTGGGGATAAGACTATGAATTCCTACGCAACTTAATATGAACACAGACGGTCGCACATAGAGTACGTATAGGCGTGCGTATACACACAGGTTAGTGTACCCATGTACATCTTGTTTTCTCAGCTGAGAGGCTTAGGAAATGGCCAGAACCGTTCAGTAGCTACAAGCATACCTAGCACCCGAACCATGGTTTCAAATACCATTCTCCAGTGAAAGGAATTGACACTCCTTAGAAAAACGGCCAACCCCAGCATGGTGCGGGAAATAGGCAAGATGAGCCTTGAACACCCTACAATGCCAAAGGAAGAAAGTGCTAACAAAACAGATTTTAAAGCCCACATTGATGGAGGGTATGCTAATGGGATATGGAAGCAACAAAATAAATAAAATAGTGCTGGATTATAATCCAAAATATAAAATAAATACCCATGAGCCCATACTGATCCGAATAAGTACTAAATACCTACATACGGAAGGAAGGAAGGGAGGAAGGAAGGAAGGAAAGGAAATTTTTGTGCAGAAGCTATCTCACCCACAAGGAAGTGAATCATAACTTCCTCTGTTAGTTGGGGAGCTATGCATGTCTCCTTCCTTCCAAAGACTACACAATGGAAAGAAAAAACAAAAGTAACTTGATAGAGGGGCCTGTGTGGCTCGGTCAGTTGAGTGTCCAGCTCTTGATTTTGGCTCAGATCATGATGTCATGCGTTCATGGGATCAAGCCCCACATTGGGTTCTGCACTGAGTGTGAAACCTGCTTGAGATTCTCTCTCTCTCTCTCTCTCTCTCTCTCTCTCTCCCTGTGCCCCTCTTTCCCCACTCGTGCTGTCTCTCTCTAAAAAAAAAAAAAAAAGAGTCACTTGATAGTCGAGAAATATAACAAATACAACCTGGGCCAACTGACCAAGGTCAACATCAATAGTGATCAGTCATGTTGGTGGGATGTATCCTTGATATGATATGATGAGAAGGGCAACTTACCTCTGTGGTCTTCCTACCCCCAAACCCATAACCCCAGTCTAATCATGAGAAAAATATCGGAAAAGTCCCAATAGAAAGACATTCTATGAAACGTCCAATGAGTACTCCTCAGAACTAATCATCAAAAATGAGGGAAGTCTGAGAAACTGTCATGGCCAAGAGGAGACTAAGGAGACATGACCACTAAATCCGGGATGGGGTCCTGGTACAGAAAATGGACATTGAGTATAATAGGTAAAAACAAAGAAATCTAAATAATGTTTGGACTTTAGTTAACCATAATGTATCAGTAACGGTTTATTAACTGTGACAACTGTACCATACTAAAGTAAGATATTAATAATAGAGGAAACTAGGGCGCCTGGGTGGCTCAGTTGGTTGAGCATCCGACTCTTGATTTCGGCTCAGGTCACGATCTCACAGTCATGAGATCGAGCCCCATGTGGGGTTCTTCACTGAGTATGGAGCCTGTTTAAGATTCTCTCTCTCCCTCCCCCCTCTGCCCCTCCCCCATCCTCTTTCTCTCTCTCTCTCTAAAAAAAAAAAAAAAAATAGAGGAAACTGGTTGTAAAGTAGATGAGAATACTCTGTACCACCTTTGCAATTTTTCTGTATGTTTAAAATTATTCCAAGAGAAAGAGTATATTTGGAAAGAAAGGGAAGTTTGCAGCATCCCTTGTGCTTAGCTAATAGGTAAGACGATTCCTTTTAGTAATGGATCGTGCCTGCACGGCCTTCAGAGGTGGTGAGGTAGCAGCCAGAGTTCTTCATTGCAAGTGGAAGAAATCTACTCAGTAATTCACACCGACAACAACTTTGTCATAGGACACTGAGTAGCACACAGAGCATACGAGAGGGCCTCAGAAGCCACGCAGCTGGGACAGTGTTGGAAACCATGTTCATCACTGGCCCAGCGGAGACCCCACTGCTGCTGCCCCACTGAGGCAGCCGCCAGATCTGCCACCTCGGGAAACTGTTTGGCTGCTGTTGCTCCCGACGCCTTGCCAGTGGGGCCTCTGCAGGATCCCTCCTCCGCTTCAGCAGGCTACACTTCAAATCACGGGCACGAGTCTGATTTGGCCAAGCCCTGGTCATGGTCCTGCTTGGTGCAAAGGAGACAGGGCAGTGAATATTTGGCATTTTCAGTTTCTACAGTGGGAGGGTGTGAGGAGAAGACTATAGGAAGAAACTGAGGGCTGAGCTGGGTTTTTCTCCAGGATGTGATCAGTTGGCATTTCCTTTTGCTGGGTCAATGGGTAAAGCCAGGGGAACCTCGCTTAAGCAGGGGGAATGGTCAGGATTGTAAAGAAGCATCTAGGCTAGGCAGACCACCATCTACACTGTGCTAAACCCAACTTAGATGCAACCAAAATATTTGCTTTTCAGTAAAAACACTGAACAGGCATGATGGATTGCATCGTGTTTCCCAAAATCCACATGCCGAAGCCCTAAGCTATAACTATATTTGGAGACAGGGCCTTGAAGGAAGAAACTGAGGTTAAATGAGATAATCACAGTCGGGCCCTAATCCAATAAGGACTGTGTCCTTATAAGAGACACAAGAAAGCTCCGTCTGTCTCTTTGAGTGCGCACAGAGGAAAGGGCACGTGAGGACACGGTGAGAGGCAGGTGTCTATAAGCCAGAAAAAAGGCCTCACAGAAGCCAACATTGATGGCACCTTGACCTTGGACTTGCAGCCACCAGAACTGTGAGAAGGTGGAGAGCTGCTGTCTGAGCCTCCCCCGTCTTCAGCACCTTGTTATGGCAGCCTGAGCTAAGTCAACAGGTTGTCAGGGGGAGTCATTCTGGAGAAGGCAACGCTCTTGTTTCCTTGAAGCTCTTGCCATGGTTTCTGTGGCATACTGTGAGGGGAATCACCATTGGACAGTAATCGCCGCCACTGAGCTGGGTCCGCTTCCTACTTTGGTGTCAGAGTTATTCACTCCAGTGGTTCCTGAACGTGGGAGAAGGGGAGGCAGGGGGGATGGGGGGGAGGAGCAGAGCTCCATCTTTGTTTTCTTTTTTAAAAAAATGTTTAATGTTCATTTATTTTTGAGGCGGGGGAGGGGCAGAGAGAGAGGGAGACACAGAATCCGAAGCAGGCTCCAGGCTCTGAGCTGCCAGCACAGGGCCCCATGCGGGGCTCCAACCCATGAACTGTGAGATCAAGACCTGAGCCGGTGGGACGCTCAACCGACCGAACCATCCAGGAGCCCCTAGAGCTCTAGCTTTGTAATTACACAACTCGGTTCAGAGTCTCTCTGCTCTGCCACTTTCTAGGTGGTGACATCAGGCAAGGTGTGTATCTGAGCCTTTGCTCTGGGATGAGAGCGTAAGCTCTTCCTGGGTAGCGTTGGAAAGGGGAGTCAAAAGGGACCAGCTTCTGAGACATGATATTTGTTGTCACATAAGGGGAAGGTGCAAGGCAGCCCTGCTGAGCCCATGACTTTCTTTCCAACAGGACTCTGCTGTGCAAGCGGGTGCTAGGGGATGAACACAGTGCCATTGGCTACACGGAGCAAAGGTCATTTTTACTCCAGGCAATTCAAAACACAGCATTGGTGTCGATGACAACAAAACAGCTGAAGAGAGAGAGTGCAAGAGAGTCGTTTGAATATAGACTTAGTATTAGATATTACAGAATTTTTACTGATTTTTCTTAGTAATAATAGCATATGGTGATACAGGACTATGTTCTTATCTTTAAGAGGTTTATGCTGAAATCCGTGGGGATAAAGAGTCACGCTGTCTGGAAATTACTTTCAAATGGCTTTGCAAAATAATTTTAAAAGAAATAGCAAAATAAAGCAAATATGGGGAAATGTTAAAGTAGGTAATAAAGCTCAGGGAAATTGGAGCCCTTGATTTATCCATTTTTCCTCATCCACTCGCCCAAATCCACTCTCCAGTCTACCCGGCACATGGTGGACACTCGATATGTTTGGTGAATTAAAATTAGAAATAAAATTCGCTTTACCTGCTAACATTTGCATAGCTAAGCAAAGATGCGGTTTCAAGCCATTTGCAAAGAAATACCCACAACTAATGACTTTCTTAAGTAAACATAATCTCCTTAAAACCACAATTGAACATTGATTTTTTTTTTTTCCTCCCGGAGTCTAGTATCAAGCAACAGCCCGCTTGCCCCCTGTCCCAAGATGCTCCCACCCAACCCTGCATTCTCAGAAGACCCGGCTTCCTGCACCCCACGCGCTTCTCCCAGGGCCGCGTGCCCCGCTCGGGTCCCTTCCACCGCAAGGTCTTGGGAACAAACCACGTGGGCAAAAGCAGTCTGTTGTGCTTTTTAAAAAAATGGTTTAAAAGAACTGGCATTGGAAAGCATTTATTTGCCACTAGCTTGTAAAAATTAAATGGGAACATTACCCAAGAGGCAACAAACTCCATCTAGCTCATTGAGAACAAGTCAGACATACAAAAAGCTCTAAACATTTTCAGATTCTTTCCTTGTTTCAATTCACCTGGTATTGTTTTTTCTTGTATTCCAAAGGAAATTTTGTCCATGATAGAAAAATCAGAAAGCGAGGACAAAAATAAAGTCATCCTCACCCCAAGATGACTGTCAGATTGCTGTAGGTCCTTTTGTATAATATAATAATAATAGATATTTCTGTTTAGTGGGTGCTCACTGTATAGCAGGCACATATCAGTTCCCACAACAACAATATGAGATTTACCGATGCAGGAATTGGGGCTGGGAGAGGGTAAGTCACTTGCCCAGGATCACACAGCTGGGAAGCGTGGAACCAGAGGAAGACCTCCAGATCTGTTTACCTCCAAAGGCCGAACTTGTAACCACAGCTCTATACTCTCTCCCATAAATCTCTGTCATTTTTTTCTTTACAAAAACAAGATTGTATCAGACAATCCCCTGCTGCCGGAGAGTAGCAACGGGCTTCCAGCTTGCAGTGGTTTTCTGTTGCTGCCAGTGGCTTAAAACAACATGTATCTATTCTCTACTGCTATGTGCTCATACTATAAGGGCAGCCTGTGCTAGGGTCTTCCCTGGGGACCCCCGGTGGCTGGTCCTTGTCTGATCTCGGCACGTCAGGCTGATAACTGGAGACCTTGTGCAACCTGAGATCCCAAGGGCCTGTGCTTTGTGGTGCCCCTGTGCTAATCTCTCATCTATATAAACCAGAGAGCTCCCCCCAGACATTCGTCACCCCGCACCGGACATGTGGGAATTCCTGGATCTCTGTCCCAGCATTGAATATGAAGCCAGGGCACTACCTCTGCCCATTTCTGGAAGGTGCTGCCTCCCCACGCACCACTATCAGACATGGCATCGCACCAAAGGTGGACTCCTCTGAGAGGCTTAGGGGACCAGCCCCAATATTTTTTAATTCCTCCGAAATTAGATGGTTTCCTCTACATGCACTTCCTCTCTGAGCTCCGGCCCCAAGGTGAAATGGTGCATCAGTCGGCTGTTGATACAGTATTGCTGCATAACAAACCACTTCAAAACTCAGTGGCGTCCGACGATAAGCATCTATTTTTTTCACTCACGTGTCTGTGCTTTGGTGAAGGCAGCTCTGCTCCAGGCTGAGGGCAGCTGGGGTTGGCTCCAGACAAGGGCTGGATTCAGATTGGCTCCAGGTGACTCCATATTCTCCTTGGGAGAGCAGCTGTCAGAGACACATTCTTCCCATGGAAAATCAAAGAAGCACTAGAGAACACAAAAGAAAACACATGGCCTCTTAAGGCCTTGGCTCTTCTGTTCACATCGCACTGGTTTAATCAAGCCCCTTGGCCAAGTCCAAGACCAGTAAGGCAGGGAAGTAGGTTCTGTAATTCTGTGTACAGGGAGGTCGCAAGACAGAGGGAGAGCGCGATGTTCAGGGTTTACCAGAAACTCAAAGGAAGGAGAAACTACCTCTCCCCAGGAGCCATTGAGAAGGCTTGAGAGACAAGAAGACCATCGTGCTGTTTTTAAAAAATAGCCATTTGTGTACCAAATGGCTCAAGGAGGAAGGATATTCTGGGAAGAAGCTGCAGGTTAAGGGACCAAGAAGTGGAGAGTACGTACTGAGTCCTGAAAGCCTGGTGTGATGGGAAATGATCCTGGAGAAAGGGGCAGAGTCAAGTCACAGAGGATTTTATGACCCAGGCTAGAGCTTCTGAGGGTTCGACTTTGTTCGAGAAGCTATGAGGAGTCCGTGATGGATTGTAAACAAAGAAGAAGCCTGCCTAACCTCCCAGAGAGCTACTGAGTGAGAGGGCACACGTGGGTCTCCTCACCCCCAAAGCAATTCTCTTCCCAGGAGGACCCCCTACTTCCAGTCACCCGAGGCCCCAGATGCTGACACAGCTTTCTCTACAACCCCCCAACGTTGAGCATCTCACAGCGGGGGCCTCACCTGAGTGATGGTGCAACAGGGCTGAGGGGGGATCTTTCAATGACCCTAGGAACAAGAACCTCCCTGTTTCACACGACCTACTCACAAAACTTGGATGGCTGTAGACCGTTGATATAAATTCCTAGTCTCTATCATATTTATTTTAGTGGGTGACTAGGAATGTTTGAACAGCATACAAATTTACGGTCAGAAAATATTAGCTCCTAAACACTGCAACCCTGCACCCCAAATCACCTCTTTAAATTCAGATTGTTTCCCCATTTCCATCATCTGCAATCAGAGTTTTCATCTTGGACAGATTTTTACAGGTCAGCCCTACACCAGGGATTTATTTGTGCCCATAAACAAAACCCCGATATTAATCGCAAACTATTTCTGATTCTCAGTTAACGTTCTTAAACATCTTGTGTCCCAGGGGACTCTTTGCCCTGTCCTATGAAGATGATGTTTCAAGATTTATATTTCCCCAAGGAAGCGAGTAGATCATAAAACCTAATGTATTCCGTGGTTTGGAATGATAATTTCGCAAAGAGGTGAGGGAATATTTCACTGTGGATCATTACAACATCCATGTAAGTTGTTAATATAATACTTACTACTTCCCTTTAAATATTCATCCAGCTCCTGTTTATGGAATAGCCCTATGCCCGTGCTGTTGGCTGTGGGTGGGTCATGCACTGGGGACAGGGACTAGAAAGGACAAAGCTGTGGACAGCTCCCTCACTTGGGAGGATGGAGGGCTGTGGGTGGAGACAGAAGAAGCCCCCGAAGACAAAATGACCCGTCGTAGACAGCACACTGGAGACCCAGAGGAGAGAGAGCTTTGGCAAGGAGAAAGAAGGGCGGGGAGCTCAGGATCCAGAACTGACACTTGTATGTGCCCCAGAGTGTCTGTCCCTGGAGACCTGGCCAGGTTGGGCAGAGGCATGTTTGTTTGTTTAGTTAGCACCAATATGAACTCTGTGTGTATTTACTGAGACAGGGTGAAGAGACAATGGTTAGAGATCACCTAGTCTAACCTGCCCATTCCACAGATAAGAAAATCGAGGCTCAAAGGAAGAGGGAAACTCCCATCTCCGGGTGCATGGGGGCTATTCTTCAGCCCCTCCCTCCAACTCCCACAGCAGTGATCTTTCTCTCTCAAAACAGCTCAGAGGACTGCAGGCTGGGAGATACTGCAATGGCAGAGCTGGGAGGGTGCTGGGAGGTCCAGAGGCACAGATGGCCAGGCACACGTGAGGTCACACTGTGAGGCGGTGTCAGAACCAGGGCCAGAGCCTTCACCCTGTGAACTACCACCTACCCTGTCCCAGCTTCCCTGCCTCCCTCCTGCCCTCGGAAGTAGGGACACAGTCACCTTCCGGGACACCCGAGGTCATGGTGGGCGGGCTCCTTGGCCTCCCCATCCTTCTCCGTGATCAGCAGGATACTGGCACTGACACCAGGAGGAGAAACAGCTTTGATCAAAACTTCTTCGTCATGCGTTGTGTCCTTCAGAGCCCCTTCACTTCCCTCCTGTCATGGAAACCATCCCATTTTACAGAGGAGACAGTTCAGGCTGGGGAGGGTCAGAGCCCGAGTCTGAACCAGTCGTCTAGACTCCCCGGATCTGGTATCCTGGTACCTAAGGTGCTATCCCTAAACTAGGCCGCTCCCTGGGATTGGAATACTCCGCTTTGAAGGCGTTTAAAAGCTGGGGGGGGGGGGGCGAGAAGTCCCCACGAAATTTCAGTGACAAAGTCCTCTTCCACAGCCTCCCGGAAGTCCCGGGCGGATGCCCCAGGATGCAGCAATAGCCGATGTATGGGCGACTGTCGCCCTCTGGTGGCCAAAGGACGAAGTGTTTCATAGCCAACTGGGAGAACAAAGACGCGTGTCTCCAGGTCTCCTCCACCCGCCAAGGCAAAGTGTCCGAATGCGGACAGCTTTTTATCCCGGGGGCCCTGTCCTTGGCTGCCGTGGCTCTACTGATGGAGGAGATGGGCGTCAGCTCAGGAGGGAGCTGCCGGGGCCTGGTTGACGGGCTGAGTCTGAGGACTGAGGTGAGGATGGGGCTAGCCTGTTGCCAGGCAGGCACTTGCCTGTGGGTGCTCGCTGCTCGCCAGGCGTCGGTCGCCCTCAGAAGCCCCCAGAAGCCACCCGCCTGCCCCTCGGCTGCCGCTGAAACCCGACCTCAAGGCCCAGCTCTCGCCCCCTGCAGGAAGCCTGGCTGGCTGGCTCCCGCCGGCTCTCCCAGAGCAGGTGACAGCTGGGTGACACCTCCGCTTCCTCCTCTGCCCCGGGGTCAGGGTGAGTGGGGACTGTTGGCTGATGTCTGCTCCACTTTCAAATCTCCGAAGGCAGGGCCTGGTCTCGTTCAGCTGCTGGAATGAGGCCAGGCCCAGCCTGGAGGGAGTGAGCGTGTTTGTTCAACGGGAGAAAATTTCAGCCCAGCCCCACTTTGCTGCAGGTTTGCGGAGGAGGCCACAGAAGGAATTTCTGGGTAGTGGGGAGGGTGGGGAGGACTGAACACGTGACCCGTGGTGCTAGTCTCTCCACCCCCGCTGCCCTGGGGAGTCCTCAGGGCCCCGGCTGTTTGGCAGGTGTCCTCCAGGCCAGCCTGGGGACAGAGTCAGGGGGGGGGGGGGGGGGGGGGGGGGGGGGGGGGTGCCGAGGGGGAATATCGGTGCCTCTATCTTGTCATCTGTACAACAGGTGCAGCTAATCCCGATTGACAGCTCCCAAACATTCAGTAAGACAACTGATAAAAACCCGTTAACACCACGCAGTCTTGCTGGTAATTTCTGGGTTCTGAGCCCTGGGTAGGCCTTTCCGACCAAATTGCTCACTCCGTCACAGCTGTAGCCACACAGGGTGGTGGTCCAGAGTCCAGTGAGGGAACCAGGCAGGTTGCCTGAGTTTGAGTGTCTGCTCTGACTTTTTTCAGCGCTGGCACCTCGCGCAGGCTATCCAATTTCTCTGTGCCTCTGACAGCCCGTCCAGAAGAGGGCGCTGAGGCAGCCAGCGCTCACGTCCTGGGAGAGTTCTAAGCATCCCAAGAGCGAACGCCTCTGAAGAGGTCAGAACAGTAGCTAGCACTCAGGAAAGGTTCAGAAAAGCGAGCTCTCACCGCACTACCACGTACAAGCTGATTGTTGTGAGCCTGGCTCAGCCCAGAATGGTGTGGCTCAAAGATGGCGCTGAGCCGCCTTTTACAGAAAAATAGATCTTTCTAACGCACGCACTTGGGATAAGCTGCTTCACCCTGTGGCCCACATGCCATTGGAGTGAGAGGAAAATCATAGCATGCCTTAAAGACGTTTTGTTGCTCTAATGTTTATTGAATTGATTCATTAGGTAGTTCTGTTTTCCCCTACCTAGATTTACCCTGTACGTGTGGACTTGTAAAGGAGGCAAAAACCTTCAACCGAAACGCTGGCTGCGATGTCCAACCTATGACGGCACCGAGAAGAGACCAGTGGCAGTTATAGGAGCCATACGTCTGCAGAGAGGCCTGAAGACCGTTGTGTTAACCCAGCACCATTTAATATTTTCATTAATGACTTGAAGGATGGAATCGAGACCCAGCTAATCAGATGTCGGCATGATACAAAGCTGGAAGGGATCTTAGCTACTCGGGAGGACAAGATTAAAATACAATCCAAGCTTGACGAATTGCAGAGGTGGACCTAAATCAATAAAGAGAACGGCAATAAAGATAAATGCAGGCTGCCGTGCACCGCGCTGAGGAAATTATCCGGGTACCAAATGGCGATGAGAGAAATGAGTTTTGAGGGGGCCAGCAGGAGCTCACCTGGAGGTGAATTCATCAAGTCATAGTATTTGTAAAGTGGAGGCTCGGCTCTGTCGTCCAGTGGACCTCAAACGCCAGTGAGTTTTGAGAATTACCAAGAGAGCTTGGGAAAATGCAGATTTTCAGGCCATGGACCCAACATTACATTTAGTAGGCCGGCAGTGAGGCTAGGATGATTTTGATGCGGGCAGTGCTCTGAGAAAGCTAGAGCCTGGCAGGTAAGGAGGCAGCCTCTGACCACATCGCTGTGTCCCAAATGTTTACTCTAGAACCCTCGTCCCACGGCATGCTCTGCAAGAAGTGATTTCCATGATCAGATAAGCTTGGAAATGCTCCCTTTTAGAAAGGAAAACAAAAAATCATAAGGTATGTGAGCATGTTTATGACTGCAATTTTTTTTTTTATTTAAATAAACAGTTTAACTTGTTTTAGTCCAGAGTTTCCCAGCCTTTCGGCCAACGAGCCATTTTTTCGTGTGACACAGAGCGACGTCTTGTGGAACGCATTTCAGAAAATGAGATTCCTGTTCAAGTCCCTCCCTCATCACGTTCTCTGGATTTCTGAGTCCTTTTCAGCACCCTGCACTGAAACGCATCCGGGGAGCTGGAACTTGAAATCATTTTAAATGCTGCTCTGTCACACTTCCCTGGGTCTGAACTTTCCTTTAACGTTTAAAGAGAGGGTGGAAGAAAATTTGCTAGAGGCTTTTATTGCCTGTTAATAGTGCACCACGTACTCCAGACTAAGAAGGGGAGGGAGGGAACTTTCCCTTCTTTGTTCACTGTCTTCCTTGAGCTTGTGTCCAAAACTGCTGGTTGCCTCCCCATGGCCCATTCTCTTCGCTCTCTTAGTAATCAGAATCTCCAGAGTGTTGAATGCGGCCATGTGTCTCACTCTAAAACCACATTTCTCAGCCTCCTTTGCAAATGAGGTGGTCAGTCAGATGTATGCAGAAGTCGCTGGGGAGATTTCTGGGGAATTACTTTAAAGGGAACTTACACATTCAGAAGGCACCCTTTTTGCTCTCCCTCACTTCCTTCTTCTTCCTGCCCGGAACACCAATATAGTAGGAGCGCTGGCAGCCCTCTTGGGCCATGAGGTAAACTTGCAAATGGAAGCCACTCACTAAGTAAGGATGGCAGAGCAGCAAGCAGATTTTGATGGCACGGTGAAGCCACCAGAGCAACCCTGTGCTGCCTGAGAGAGAAACAAAGATGCAGCCCTATTGGTTTAAACCATTGTTTTTCAGGCCTCTGAAAATGCAGTTAGATGCCACTTTGAATTCACAGAGAGTAGAACCATCAAAACCTTTCTGTCATTTTCCACACATCTTAGTCATGCTGGGCTACCATCCTGACCGTATCCCTACGTGTCCTTGCTGTGTGTGTGCGTGTGTGTGTGTGTGTGTTCTCGTCCCACCTTTGGCACAAGGCAGTTATGTTGCTTGGATCCAGCAGTGTCCAGTGCGGCCACGCCTGTGTCTTTGGCTACCTCTCTCTTTTCTCCTTTGTTGGAATTAAGCGCAGAACGGAATCCACTTAGAATGACATTTTTGAGAGCTTCACATCATTCTAGAATGAACTTCCGTTTTGGGATCCCTGTCCCTAGAACACTTTTTTCTGAAGTTCTGTAACCTGCATTCCTGTGAGAAACCAGTGAGTGGCTCCTGAGACAAGGGAGGCTGAAGAGAAACTCTATCGCAAGCCTTCCTTTGTATCACCAATGAGATTTGCTGAAAAGGAGAGTCATGCGATTGCAAAGAAAAACTAGAAATGAGCATAATCCTTTTTTTTTTTTTAATGTTTATTATCTTTGAGAGGGAGAGAAAGAGAGCACAAGCTGGGGAACAGGAGAGAGAGAGGGAGACACAGAATCCGAAGCAGGCTCCAGGCTCTGAATGGTCAGCGTGGAGCCAGACACTGGGCTCGAACTCTCGAACCATGAGATCATGACCCGAGCCCAAGTCGGGCACTTAACCTACCGAGCCACCCAGGTGCCCCGTGCATAATCGAGAGTCAGGATACACGTGCTTCACTCCAGGAATGGACGAGACAGCAGAAGGGTCCCCTCCGCAGCCTATGTCCTCTGTCTCACTTGGCTGCCTCCCAGGGCCAGGGGCCACCAGATCTGCTGGTCTGGGCTGCTCGGCTTTGTAAAAGGCCCTCTCCTGCTTCCCTCTGCACCCCCCACCACCGGCTTCCCCCTCTCCCCCGGAGCAAGGCTGTGTTTTGCCGTGTAGGTGCCTCTGCCGAAAGGAAAAGGGAGATCCCCTGGAGTTCCCCTTTGCTTCTGGCCATGTGGCCTCCAGAGCAACACAAAAGTCTTTGAGCTTTTCCCGTCCGTCCCTTGACTGGGACAGCCATTTGGAAGGGGCTGTTTTCCAGGATCAGGCCTAGTGAGGCTGTTGCATTTTCTGAGAGACTCACATGGGAGACTCCTGCGAGAAGGGACTCACATCCAGCGAATGCCTGGTGGCCCACCGGTGCACGTGTCACCTGTCACCTTCACTCCAGCCTTGTTCTCATCCTCTTATTGATCCCCGGAACCAGCCTCACTCACTTTGCCACAAGGCCTCTTAGATTTTCACACTGCGACCCCGATGTACATACCAAACCCACACACGGTCTATTATTTTCTCCCAACATACAGGCAACTTGTCAGCACCTTGAGATGTGCAGGAGCCTTGCGTCGTGGATCCTACGTCCCCAGTGCCTCTGGGTGATTGAATAAAGGAACGGACGAATGAGTGAATGCTGAATAAATACCGAACACATTAAATATTTATAAACATGCATAAACTGTGTCACTGCCATAAGGGAAAAAGGTGAAAGTGAGTCTCACAAGGTTTTACTCAAGGATAATCAGACTCTCATCCCTGATAGTCAACACAAAAGCCACCCCGCTCTTTCCTACCCTGGGTCCAGATTATGGCTTCTCCTTGTAAATAAAACTGTTCCCCCTACAACGTCATGAAACACAAGAGGTAGGCATCTAATATATCAAGTCATTTTTTCCAACCTACTCCCTGGATTGCGTATCAGATGTCCTGGGCTTTGTTTTCGGCATCCTTTGGCCAAATAAACCAGTCAGGGCTCAATTCTCCAATTGACTGGATGTCTCAAGGAACAAACCCTCAAATCTGATTACAGGAAAATTCATTACTTTAAGTCTTCCCTCAGGGTTCAGAGCTCATAAAAGAAACCTCCAGAGGCCCCGGCTTAAGGGAAGAGAGGTCCCTGTGCTGTGAATCTACAGATCGGCAATAATTAACCTGAACTAATTACGGTCAAGCCCCCGGTCAGTCCCCCCAGATCAAGGCTGTCCCCTGACACTCTGGTGTCCAGAGCAAGAACTTTTCCCTCAAACACAACAGGGACATTCAGTAGATCTTGGTGTAAAAGAGCATGACCTGAATAGGATGCTCTACCAGGCAAAGCTGGGGCCCTGGAGGCTCCCCAGCAGAGCCACAGTTCCAGCCCCTGGAAGGGAACCGGGAAGGATGCTTCCCTGGACTCTACTGCCAGATCTGGAAGGGTTTTACCACAAACACAACCACAGATCTCGACACAGAAAGACAGACAGCAAGCCGGGATAGACGTGCACATTTTATTTACTATGTTAAAAGATGACGTGAAAAAGAAAAAGAAAAAAAAAGGAATGCTCCAAAAGAAAAAAATAGTTATAAGGAAAGATAGTTTGCCAAGAAACAACAGCCAGTCAACACAATCAACGTGGTTTTTTTAAAGGTCCAACCTCACCCTAGAAATAAACACACGGAAAAAAAAATCAAACAAACACGGAAAGAACGTTTTGTCTTTTGAGATCAGTAAAGTGGTTTTTTATGTTAAGGCGCATATTCACAAGGGGGATGAATGGGGCACCGCCCTCCACTGTTGGTGGGAATAGATTCTGTACCTTTTGGAAGGCAATTTGGCAGTAGGTAACAGAAGTCTTCAAATATGCGTATCCTTTAACCTTGTCACTTAACAACTTTATCCTGGAGGCCGTGGTCCTCAAGCAGAGGCAATTTTGCCACCCAGGGGACACTTGGCGATCAACAGATATTGATCGTCAGGATATCGGGGGGGGGGGGGGGGGGCGGGAGCAGTCTGCTAGTGGCATCTAGTGAGTAGAGGCCGAGGATGCTTTAAGCATTCTACAAGGCACAGGTCAGCGCCCAGAACAAGAATTATCGGTCCGAACATCAGAAGTGTCACTGTAAAGAAGCCTCCTTGCCTTAGCGGAGAAACTCAGGGGAGTCCACAGGGATATATATATAGATATCTCCAAGGCTTCTCCAGGCAGCATTGTATAAAAAGTTAAAATACTAAAAACAGTGCACGTCAGTAGAAGACTAGTTAAATAAATCATACTTCGTGCATATGCTAGAATACCGTAAAGCCACTAAAAATTAAATAAATCTGTGTTTACTGACATGGAAATACATTCATCCTATGGTGCCAAATGAGGATATCTGGTTTCAAAATCAATGCCTGGTTGATAATACTTTTTCTGTGCGTACATGTATAGAAAAAAATCAGAATGCTTTTAACCACCATGTCCCATGTTCGATGGTGATTTTCTCTAGGTGGAAACAGGATACGTGATTTCAATTGTTTCTTGTAGCTTATCGGTGTTTCCTATTTTTCTTCCAAGAGCACAGCCAGCGGGGACCTTGTAATACAATGCTCGAGACCAAGGGTTTTATTTTTGTTTTTTATTTTTTTTAATTTTTTTTTTCAACGTTTATTTATTTTTGGGATAGAGAGAGACAGAGCATGAACGGGGGAGGGGCAGAGAGAGAGGAAGACACAGAATCGGAAACAGGCTCCAGGCTCTGAGCCATCAGCCCAGAGCCCGACGCGGGGCTCGAACTCACGGACCGCGAGATCGTGACCTGGCTGAAGTCGGACGCTTAACCGACTGTGCCACCCAGGCGCCCCGAGACCAAGGGTTTTAGAGTCAGACACGGACAGTTGTGGCTGGGTCCTTTCTCAGCCATACGCAAACCTGAAAGATCCGGTGCCAGTGAGCTTGTATTCCCAATTGCCAACAAGCAACTGGGCTGCCCCCCCGTAGACAGATGCACCCCAATCCCCATAAAGTCATCTCAGGGCAGGTCCATATTTTCCTTTTCTTTTCCTGAAATCACCCAAAGCACCAAGTTTTTATTAAGCATGGAGACATTTAAAATTCCAGAAGCAACCTTGTAGGTACGGGCAGCCCAGAGCAGGGACATAAAGCAGGAGGCTGAACAGGAGAAACGTGAGGAAGAGGAGAGAAAGCCACCAAAATGAGAGGTCACCCGGACTGAAACGGTTGAGGAGAATGCATCTGCGTGGCAAGAACAAACACTGCTTCCCTCCACGAAAGAAAAACAAATAAAAACCAGCTTCTTACCTCCATTGGCTTCAGAGCAATAAAGCCTAAACAAACTCATGTACGATACCTCGCATTATTTTTTATAAAAAAATCATTGCCCTGGGGACATAGTGGTGAAGCAATCAGACGTGCTTCCTACCTGTGCAGACCTCCCAGTCTGGTGGGGGAGCCAGAGGTTAGTCAATTCCACAAACTCCAAATACAATACAGGGGGTAAGAGCTTGGGTTTTAGAGGTAGACAAACCCAGAATCTACCCCCTACTCCTCCATCAAATCTCTGAGACTCTTTGCTTACATGCCAAATGGGGAAATACAACAGCACCTCCCTCATAGGATCGTTGTGGGGTTTACCAAAGGTAACGCATACAGGTCAGCAGAGAGTCCAGCACATGGCGGGTGCTTGCCACTGTCAGTATTAACACAACTGACAATATCAGTAGCCGCAATAAGCAGCAGCAGCAGTAACAGTACTATGAAGGGAAAACGGAAGTTGTAAGAGCTTCACAGCAGAGTGGGAGCAGGTCTCTTAGATGGTAAGTCCCGAAAGCCAGAGGAAGCAAAAAGAACATGAGTCCCCGGGAATTTACAAAAATCTGGGGGATGATTTGGATTCCGCCAGTGCACGGCACCAGCATTCTAGCTGAGCTTAGCTGGATCTCAGGGGCCAGGAGACCCAGGCTGACATCTGTGCCTATTATAAAGCAGAGGGCCCCGACCCCCACCCCCACCCCATTCTGCCTCTCCTGTCAGCAGGTGCGAGCAGCCTGGCAGGGGCTAATGAAATGTTTACTGAAAAGATTAGCTTGTCAGTGGAGCCTGGACAGATGGCTATTGATCCTCTGCTCGTCTGTCATCCCTATCCCATCTGAGACTAGGTGTGGGAGCAGGTTCTCTGTGACCCAGAACTCAGGGTGGGGGCTCAGGTCCCAGGTACAGTGGCACACGGGAAAAGGTGTTTGCAATGTGAGAAGGTCTCTTAGATCTATGGCATGGTCAGAGGGGTCTCTGAGTCCCTGGAAGCCCCCTCCTCTGGGCTCACGGAAAGAGCATAAGAAATAACAGACGGGTGTTCAAATTGATTATTTTGTGACCTCGGACTCTGTGAGACTCGATTATTCTCATCCATAAAACGGGAAAAATAGCACCTACCTCATGGAGATGTTTCAAGACCTAAATCAGGAGGTAGTTATCAAAGTCCTAAGAACTGACATTGTTGAAAGGATGTTTGATTTTTAGAAATGAGAAAAAGGAGCCCACAGTGAATTTCTCCAATGTGGAACGCCATCTGGTGATCTTGAGGAGTCTGGCTTGTAGGATGTTCTAAAGAGCTTGCCCAGTGACCCGAGGGCGGTGCTGAGCCACTGAGGGGAGTGGCTTGATACACTATGGGTTTAGGAAGATCACTGTGGCTGTAGGGGGACAAGACTGGAATTTGTCACAGCTAAAGAAATGGCAGTAGGGGGGCGCCTGGGTGGCGCAGTCGGTTAAGCGTCCGACTTCAGCCAGGTCACGATCTCGCGGTCCGTGAGTTCGAGCCCCGCGTCAGGCTCTGGGCTGATGGCTCGGAGCCTGGAGCCTGTTTCCGATTCTGTGTCTCCCTCTCTCTCTGCCCCTCCCCTGTTCATGCTCTGTCTCTCTCTGTCCCAAAAATAAATAAAAAAAAAAAAAATGTTGAAAAGAAATGGCAGTAGGAACACAGGCCCCTTGGAGACTGAATGTATAGGCCTTGACGATTAACTGACTGGCTGACTGGACATGAGAGATGGAGGCATGGACGGCCCTCAAGTGCATGGTGACCCTGTCACCCTGTCAACTAGTCGGGAGGCCCCGGGGAGAAGCAGGCAAGGGGAAGATAATGAGCTTGTTTTGAACACAGGGAGCGTGAGATGCCTGTAAAACTCTCAAGTAAGATGTCTCCAGGGTGGTTGGCTATGAACCTGAGGCTCAGGAGTCAGATCTGGATTCCATACACTTCAGGAGTCCTCCTCCTCCTCCTCATGGTCATCATCACCATCATTTAGTTGGTAATGGAAGCCACCATCAAGGACGATGCTCCCAGGAGGATGCCTGATGGGGAGAGAAGGGGCCTGAGGGGACAGGCGGGAAGAGATGCTTGTAAAGGCAAGAGAGGTTTCATGGAAGCCAGGAATGAGTGAGTTTCAGGAAGGGGGCGTGGTGGGGGTAGGCAGTGATCAACTAGAAAATTCTACAGAAAGGTCATATTTTTTTTTTAAACTCTAAAATATGTCTTTTGAATTTAGGAACAAGGAGGTCGTTTTCAACTTAGGAAAGAACGTTTCTGTGGGGCAAGTGAGAGTGGATGGGAGGTGAGACTATGCAATGAGAGGTAGATGGCTCGACAGCCAAGGAGAGGAGAGAGGGGGGCTGCTGGCTGCAGGGCGCTCAGGAGAGCAGGCTACTCCAGGACTAGGACCGGGTCACCGGGGACTATTGCAAAGTGAGGGAAGAATCCAGGACAGAGAGAGGGTTGAGACAGGGGAAAGGAACAAGATCCCAGAGGGGCACAGACTCAGGGCCCCCAAGGGGGCCTCAGGGAGCCTCTACAACTAAAAAGCAGCCCCAGGACAGCTGAGCCCCACCATGGAGGAAAGGACCCTAAGCAGAACCCCACCCTCACCTCTCTTCCCCTCCTCATCCTCCTACCCCCCTCAAACACCCTATCTTCTTGGAGCAGTCTGAGGTATTACAGTATTACTAGCTATAAGCACCTTGCTCTACATTAGAGCCTCCAAACTTGTTAACCTCATAACCAGAAGTTATAAGACCAATATCTTCCTTTGACCAGGGAGGTGAGTCTGTCTCAAAAGGACATGGAGGGATGAGGCAGGGACTTAAAGCAAGGAAGGAGCTTGTAAACAGCCTCTATGGGGCTGGAAGAGGGAGTGCGGACTGGGGCTCAGGAAAGGGAGGAGGGGCCAGTGGAGGCCCCCTGGGATGGAGGCTTCAGAGGAGAGCAGGAAAAGAAGAGCTAGGCTGAGCAAAGATTCAGAGCAATGATTCCTGGCGGGACCTGAGACCAGACAGCGGGAATTGAGGGGAGGAGGGTCTGCGAGGACCCCCAGATTGCCCGGCTGGAGGAGGAGGGTGCCAGTGCACCCAAAGGTGCACACGGGGACAGGCAGTGAGAACAGGCTGCCTGGGGACACCGCTGCCACTGTCCACAGCAGCCTCTTGCTCTGCAGCGCAGGAACGGTGACACGCCCTGGCACCCAGAAGCAGAGGGGACTCTGCTCAGCATTTCAAGGCCGAGCGGAGGGAGGAGCAGGCGGGGGAGCAGCCCGCCGCTGACCGGGGACTCCAGGCAGTGCTCTTCCTTTTCCTCAGCCTCAGTTTCCCCGTCTAGACAATAAGAAGAGCGCTTCCAGGAACCTCTTCGGACCCCCTTCCCCCACCCCGGTCAGTGGGGACATTCTGCAGAGGGGAAGTTTTATTCCAGTGTGTGTTTTACAGCCTGGGGCGCTGGCAGGGCTGGGCGGGCTCAGAGCAGAGCCGGGGAAACCCAAGCGTAGGACTCGACCAGATCTGAATGTGCCATGTGTCCCATTCATTAATGGCTCCTTTCAAGGTTATTAAGTGAGACTAGGTGGGTGTGTGGCCTTTCTTTCTATTGCCCTTCCAATTAACTGGCACTTTGCTTGGGAAATGTTAATTTGGAGGGTGAAGGAAGCCAGGCCAGGGTAACAATGCTCCTCTAACACAGGTTAATTGCTGGTAAGCGTTACAACGTTACAAGGGCAGCTCTGGTTCCCAATGATTAATGGCTGAAAACCTGGAGGGTCAGCAGAAGCTTAACCCCTCGGTGACCTAGATAAGGGCGGAGAAAAATCCCAGTGGGTCGTCCTGGGTTTGTGAGTAAGTCTGGAGGTGTGTCCCTCGTGGGTGAGATGAGCCATTTGGACCCCTTCCACTGGTTGGTCCTGAGAGTCAGGTATCCATCAAGAGAATGTTGGCAAAAATGCTTCCTGCCACCATAGCGTCCGCTAGCACCTCTAGTCCCTCACAATTACCGTTTCTTTTGTGCTGTAAGAACAGTTAAGATTTACTCTCATAGTAACTTTCAAGTATGTAGTACAGTATTACTAACTATAAGCACCTTGCTCTACATTAGAGCCTCCAAACTTGTTAACCTCATAACCGGAAGTTATAAGACCAATATCTTCCTTTGACCAATATCTTCCCAACCCCACCTCCCCCCCACTACCATTCTTTGTTTCTATGAATTTGGCTTTTTAAAATTCCACATATACATGATTTACATATGAAACACATATCATGCAGAATCAGTCTTTCTCTGTCCGGCTTATTTCACTTAGCATAATGCCCTCGAGTTTCATCCAAGTTGTTGTGGATGGCAGGATTTCCTCACGTCTCATAGCTAAATGATATATCTTATTTATCTTATATACATGTACTATAGAAAATAAAAAATGTTATAGTAAATAATATATATAGTAAAATAAATAAATGAGATATATCATCTGCCTTGTGTATGTGTGTGTGTGTGTGTGTGTGTGTGTGTGTATCACATCTATTTTATCCATTCCTCTGTTGAAGGACATTGGTTGTCACAACATTCGGTTGTGTCCACATCTTGGCCACTGTTAACGCTGCAGTGAATATGGGAGTGCAGGTATCTCTTTTTAGATACTGTTTTCATTTCTTTCTCATATAGATCCAGAAGCAGGATTGCTGGATCATACGGCAATTCTAGTTTTAATTTTCTGAGGAAACTCCATGCCATTTTCCATAACGGCTGTACCATTTGTGGATTCTTTCAGTGCATTACCTATCCAAAAAATAAGATTTTTCAAAGGATATCAGTTCCACAAGCAGCTCCTCAGCACCCTTGTGAGTGGAGGGTGTAGTTTTGAGCTGGGCAGGGTTCAGATAGGCAGGAGGAGTGAGAAAAGTCAGGAAGACACAGGTGTGACAATACCATGCTGGCCCAGGCTGCACAGGAAGCAGCCCTAATAGATTGTCTCTCTGTTCTGAGACTGATGTCACCCACCTCTCCCTCCAACACACAGACCTTTTCCGTTTCCCACCAAGCTTGGTAGATTCCTGGCTTCTCCCTTCTTTTCAGAAAGGGTAGAAATAGAAAGTTCAGGATAGATGCCATCCCGTTTCCAGTGCTTTCTCACAAGATCAATTCAGGGCGCTGGAACCCAGCACGGGAGTGGCAGTGGGCGGGGGGGAAGATGGGCAGAGAGAACAGACCTCACAAGGAGGCCTTGAAGAGTCAGCTCATTGTGGAGCTGAAACGTCTGCGTTTGGAGCTTGGTTTGGTGCTCAGCAGCACCAGGGCTCAGATAACAGGGTGCCCGCTGGGCATCCCCCAGAGCACAGCTTCTATCGTGCAGACCCCTGGAGATGCAGGATGGAGGGGGAAATGAATTTACTGGAACTTCTCACAATGATTATTCTGTGTGGTTACAACATTTCAATAAATGTCCTTTTTTAGAA